ACAGTGCATGAATGCATGCATGTGCTCATCTGCATGTACAGTGCATGAATGCATGCACGTGCTCATCTGCATACACAGTACATGAATGTATGCATTGCTCATCTGCATGCACAGTATGTGAATGCATGCATTTGCTCATCAATGCATAAATGTATGCATGTGCTTATCTGCATACAGATATATTTTGTATGTATTATATATGTATGTATGTGCATAATCTCTATGCAATTGTGCTCTACATACATGCATACACATGTATATTTAGGAACACACACATCATACACACTGTTTCCTCCAACCCTCAGGGAAGAAGAAGTTTAATTACACAACTCTGAGCTCTGGGTCTGCCCTGGTCTCCACTGTCCTAGTGCCCAGTGACATCCTGTCCGAGGTCTCTTGTCCCAGCCATCCATAGTCATCAATTTCAGTCATGAAGACTCTAAGCCCTGAGGTTCCTTTCCAGTCAAAGGCCTCTGTGAGATAACCCATATTCTTCAGCACCTGAGGCCCCACATAGGGCACAACAAGATCTTGGTGGATTCTGCAGTCCCCAGGGTCTCCATGACTTTATCCTAGACTCTTATCCAGCCCTTTGTAGATAGAAGTTTCTGTTCCACCCAGCCCTGCAGCCATTTAGTTCCAAAGAAATACACAGAGGCCTTTATTATAAACTGTTTGACCTATTAGCTCAGGCTTATTACTAACTAGCTCTTAAATTTAAATTAACCCATAATTCTTATCTATGTTTAGCCCTGTGGCTTGGCACCTTTTCTCAGTGAAGCATTCTCATCTTGCTTTTTCTGCTTCTGGATGACTCCATCTCTGCCTTTCCTCTTCCCAGAATTCTCTTAGTCTTGTCACCCCACCTATACTTCCTGGCCAGTTGGTGTTTTATTAAACCAATATGAGTGACAAATCTTTATAGTATACAAGAGCATTATCCTAAAGAAGCCCTTTTCTCTGCCCTGGGTCCCCCAAGCAGGAGGAGAGGCAAGCCTCTAAATAAAGAACAAATATAAAAGACACCCCAGTGCTTTGAAGAGCTCCTGTGGGACACTGTGCCCCTGGGATTCCCAGGAACTGAGCTACCTGTGGGACCCTGTACCCCTGGGACTCCCAGGAACTGAGTACCTGTGGGACACTGTGCTCCTGGGGCTTCCAGGAATTGGTTTCACATCCCAGGCCCAGTCTCAGGGAGCTGCAGTTGTCCACATAGGGTCTTATAGCCACTTGTGTCAAAACTGTTAGGGAACGTGTGGTAAGTGAGGAGTGAAGATGCTTGAGAATCTGACCTGATCGAGTCTTTCCACTTACTCGTCCTTGCTCCCTTCCTGACTACTACACTCTTAAAGGCCTTTGACATAATGTGCACCACAGAGCCCCCATGGTTAAAGTGTAAGACCAAACTCAAAACCATATACTGTTGGTTTTTTTTTTTCATTTTCATCGTCCCCCAGAGGAAACCTTTGACATAGACCCTTTTTCCAGTGAAGATGCAAATGGTCAATAGGCACATGGAAACATTCCCATCATAGTTGGCATAGAAAGCTAAAATAGAATATTGATGGTAGCAAGTGTTGACAAAGATGTGGGATGATTGGACACCCTCATACATTGCTGGTAGCATTCTAAAGTCAACTTGTCACTTTGAAAACAAATTGACAGTTCTTCAAAATGTTGAGTATAGAATGACCAGATGGCCCACCAAACTGAAAACTTGCTACACAGAAACTTATATACACTGTTCTTCACGGTGGTACTATCTATAACTGCACAGAAACTCACATACACTGTTGTATATAAAAGCTTCTTTTCATTTACCTTATATACTGCTGGGGAACAAACCCCAGGCCTTCCAGATGCCAGGCAGATGCTTTCCCATGCAGTGTACTTTCCCAGACTTTTATTCTATTTTTCATAGATTTTATTGATTATTGGAGGGGCATGTGCTTGATCTGGGGGTGGATGGCATATGTGCCACAGCATGTGTGTGGGAAGTTGGGACAGTTTTGTGGCACTGGTTCTCTTCTCCCACTTATGTGGATCCAGGGCTTGAACTCGGGTCTCCAGGCTTGCCTGGTAAATACCTTTGCCTGCTAAGCCATCTTGCTGAGTCCTTCATTCTGTTCTTGTGTAATGTCTAGAATGGCATATGCCTGGGCACACATTAGCATTGTCCTGGGTTTAGGGAACAAGGATGCTTACTAACATATAAAAACAGGGTTTTTAGAGTAACGAAAAAGTTTTGAACTTAGTGTTTTGGTCATACTTGTTAATAGGTTTCCTGTCCTGTGATAATAGGCTTCTCTGACACAGTAAGCCAAATCAAGACAAACTGAAAAAGTACAAGAACAGGTTTATTTGAGCAAAGCAACTCCCAGGTGGATTCTCCAGTCCCAGAGATGGAGGTCTGAGAAGCCACACACCTGAACTAAAGCAGGGAGATTATATAGCTTGTAGGCAAGGGATGATGATGTGTCTGCCACAAGCTGGGTTTGTGCCCAAGTATTGTCAAAAGTTGAATGCTTGGGTGAGAACTTGGGCTGCTGGTGGCAACAGGAAAGAAGTAGCAGTAGTCACCAGGAATGCAGAACTGGGCTTTTCGCCCTAGCTTTTCTTTGTTTGGAGACCGAGTGGGCGTGGTTTGGAGAGAGACAGGAATAGGGCTTTCTGGATCGTGCATGGGTGAGCTGGGGGTTCCAGCTGAACGCTAGTGAATATATTGAAAATCACCAACCTGATACTTTAAAAGGTGAATTTATGGTGTATGAATTATATCAATTGGAAGCTTTAGACTCAAACATGAACACCACAGTGCATTTGCAGAAGAGAGTCTGGCTGGTTTAAATCAAGACAATTTGAGTGACTTTGAGGCAAATGATTAATCTGCAAAATTCAGCCAGTTTCGAAAAATGGCTACGCGAAGGTACAGTGGAGACTCTTGAGTCTATTCCAGTTCTTTCTCATGTAAGGCAGGAGACGGGACCCCACCAGGCCAACTGTCCCCTCTTCTTCTTCCCTGTCTCAATGGTTAATTGAGCCTCTTTTTCCAGCTCCATTGAGGATAGATGTCACTCATGACATCACAGACACATTAAGAATGCCAGAGGACGGAGGTCAGAGAGGTGGCTCAGTGCATAACGGCACTTGCTGCACACCTGAGGACCAGAGTCCAGTTCCTGGACTCATAGCAGGAGAGAACCAACCTGCAAGATGTCCTCTGACCCCCACATCATGGCATGCGTGTAATGCATATAATCCCAATAAATGTAAGGAACAATTAAAAAAATCCCAGAACAGGCTGCAGGGGTGACTGAAGGAGCCCCTTTGTCTAAACAAGCTCAGCTCTTCTTTGGGGATGTGTTTAGCATTTCCACATCCTCTTCTGACTATGAGACAACAAAACCAAAGTAGTGGCTCTTTGTTGGCCTTGGTTTTGGGGTCAGTGAGAGCATCACAAATGAACCTGTGCTTGCGTGCACTGAGGCCGAGGAACGCTGGTCCAATGGGGTCAACAGTGACTCTCCATGCCCGCAGTTCTCTGCAAAGAGAAACTGTTACTGGACTGGTTGGGAAAGTGCTCCTTACACCCGTGGTCTGCTAGCTTTTCCAGACCAAGGCAGCTTCCAACAGGGCGTTAAGAAGCCGCCCTGACAACTGTCCTCTCGCTGCTTACAGAGTGTTTTAGATGTGTCGGTTGAACCTCCCAATATTGTACTGGCGGTGACATAAGGTCAGAGAGAATGTCAATGGCGGATGGTTCTGGGACGTCACAGCCCCCGTCAGAGCCCCGATTAGCTGGCGTGCATGGCCTTGCCACCTACAGCTTTCACCTCACAGTAACCCAGCCCCAGTCTCCTGAACCCTTGGTACCTCTCATAGCTTTGTTAGGTCTCTACCCTTTCCTCAGCAAGTCTGCTTTGCATGAAACCATTTCCAGCCACCCCTTTTAAAGATCAGTGTTTAATCATGCATATGAGTACAAGTGACCTCAGAGGTCAGAAGGAGGTATCAAATCCTGTGGAGCTGGGGTCATAGGTGGTCCTGAGTCCCCTGATGTGGGTGCTGGGGACTTAACTTGGGTCCTATGGAAGGCCAGTGCATGCTCTTAACCTCTGAGCCAGCTCTCCTGCCCCCACCAAACCTTCAGCTGCTTTAACTCACGTTAGCGTTTAAACATAGTGTTAAAAATATTTGGAATTTCAAAGCATGTTACTTTTTTACTCTATATGATTTGGTGCACACTGCTACATAAAATGTATTTTTTATGTTGATCTGATAAACTGAATAATACATCTTTCAAAATGTATTTAATCTTTTCTCATTCCCTCAGAAGGAAGCACTTGGGTTGAGCCTTGGATTTTTGTCTATCATTTTCAAAGGGCTCAGATCAACTTCCCTTTCTTGAAGTGAGGTTTCTCACGTGATATCTGTCCTATGGTAGGTAGCTTATGTTAGAATTGTATTTGTGGGAGTGGGCAGAACTGGTTTAAAATGTAGGTTGTCTAGCCCTGAGTAACACATCTGTTCATTTGAATTCACGGGAACTAGGGTCTGAGAACATCTTTTTATGTCTGCTGGGACTTGAGGTTCAGCTTCTTATGGTGGCTTAAGCCACTAGAAGGAGAGGTGGCTGCAGGGGCGGGGGACGACACACTGGACCCATGGACAATCTGTATGAGGCATAACTGTCCTTAGTGTTAAGGCAAATCAATTAATCTCTCTCTCTCTCTCTCTCTCTCTCTCTCTCTCTCTCTCTCTCTCTCTCTCACACACACACACACACACACACACACACACACACACACACACACACACACACACACAGAGCAAGCAAGCGAAAGACCAGGCAGGCTGTATCCATGTATCCATGTTTCCAGTTGGTTGGATGTTTGACAATAAAAATAGCAGAGTCCTCTCAGAGGACTGGGGTGAAGGCAGACATGATCTACAGATAGTGTATATATCTGATATACATACTGTGTATGTGTGTGCACACCATCCATCCATATCACTGAATGATGAATGATACTTCAACCATGCTGTTCACGTGGCTAACCACTGCATGATCCCATCCCCTTCACAGTTGCTCATGCTGGAGAGATTCCAGTCAGCTAAAGGGTTTGGCCTCAGTCAGCCAACAGTTCACTGGCTTCAAATCCATTGTCATGAGTTAACTGTCCTGGCCAGCTGCTGGCCCTGTGAATCTCTCTTTAGTTTGGATGGAGATGCACCTTTGAGTCTCTGCTCTTCCTCCCAGCAGGAACCCGTTTGCCTCTGGGCTCCCTCCTCAGCTCCTCCCTCACTTCCTCCTTGTGCTTCCTTAGAGGTGGGCGCACAGAGACAGGCCTTGCTCTGAAGAGTCTGCACAGAGGGTTCCCGGGAGGCAGACATGGTGCTGTGCCCCAGCTCCTCATCATCGTCACGGATGGCAAGTCCCAGGGGCCTGTGGCTCTGCCTGCTAAGCAGCTGAAAGAGAGGGATATCGTTGTGTTTGCCGTAGGAGTCCGGTTCCCCAGGTGAGTGTCTGTCAGTCCGCATCAGCCCTCACGCAGTGGGGCCAACATGACCAAAAGCCTTCCAGAACCTTCACAGTCACAGCAAGATTGGGGGACTGGGAGAGCCGACTGGTCTTTGTCTCCCTGACTTGTTTTGTGGGTTCTGGTTTGCATCGCACAGCCCATCCCAACCTTTGAGAGCACTGGGCTTTCATGCCTCCTTCTGCCTTTAACTGAACATTTGGTTGTAAGCATCAGGAATCAACTCAAAATCATTGGACAAAATCAAGTCACCACCCTGCTTCCCCATGTGGGGCAGCCACCCCTCTGGTGGGTCAGAGCCATGAGCCTCAGTGCCGCTCAGCTCCCCCCGTCCACCACGCGTCTCTCAATTTCTCTCTACTGCCCTCTCAGCCTGGGAAGGTTAGGGTTAGGAGCTGGGGTCATGAGCAACATGCCAGCTCACAAAGTCACATCTCAGTGTTGGGAGGAGGAGGAGGGGACCATCTCTGCTAGTCCAGTTCTGACCAGCCTGAGTCACTTGTACACCTGGTGCTGGCAGCGGGCAGGGAGTCTCTGAGTCCACTTCTCTCTCCAGGCCCCTCATCCAGATGTTGGGCAAATCTGCCCTCCTGGAAGAGGGGGCCCCATGCTCCCATGCTCCCAACCTAAAAAATGAACGTGTACCTCACTAATCCTTGGATTTCTAACTAGGTTCTAGGGGAAATGACTTTGGGTTGGGCACCATGTTTACATTCAGAAATGTCTTTTGTTTTATGATTGTGGCTGGCACCTGAATTCCTCTGGCAGCTTTTGAGAAAGCCTGTTTTGGGCCAGAGCAGTGGAGCGGGGACAGGAAGGCCACATTCGAGAACCCCTTTTCTTTATGCCAAGGGATAACTGGGTACTGTGTGAAAAGTTTGACCTCTGTGGGTTCAACTAAGAGTGGAGAGTTTGATACCACTGAAGTTGGAAGCGTGGTGACTGGTTCTGTGTGAGTTGCAACAGGTGGGGTTCTTCTCTTCCCTTCACAGACTTCTGCTCATCTTCCAGTTTTTAAGATATTTGTAACTCTGTCAGGACTGGGCACACAGGCATGCCATGGTTCACTTGTGGAGGTCAGGTCTGCCCTCCCACGTGGGTCCCAGGGGTCAAACTCGGGTCATCAGTGCCCTCACCTGCTGAGCCTCTCACTGGCTCTTAAGCAAACAAAAACGATTCTCTGTAGTATCTCCCCTTCATGACCTAGGGGCATCCCAAATACCATTTTGCCCTGGGCACTGGTGAGGGGCTCTGGCTGCATCTCCTCCACGGCTGCACATGGCTTTCCTTGGCTGCCTTTGGGGCTTGTGTTGTACCTCAGTGTTTGGCTGGCTTTGGCTGTCCTTATTGGTTTTTCTCTTTCTCATCTCAGAAAGCTTTTTCTCATTTGCTTTCTGATGGTTTTAAGCAATTAATATATAACTTAAAAAACGAGAGGAACGTCTGACAAAAGAAGATGCATTAGGAACGTATGTATAGATACATTTGTGTCCTACCCTGTAAAGAAAAGAATTCCCAGAGTTAGTTTTGTTTCCTTATCAACTATGACTTTCAGAAAAGTCATTTGAATCCCTTAGCACTATGTCTTGACTATGAGCTGATGGGTCTGAGGATGAGGTATTTTAGCAAAGGTTGGCCCAATGCTGGGCTTCCTTGAGAACCTCCTGAGTTTACCTCTCACCTGGACGATGAGGTGGTTATGAGCTGACCTCTGGGTCAGTGGGATGTGCTGTGGTCCAGGAGTTAGGGAGGCAGGATGAGGCAGGGTATGGTATCAGCTGCTGGAATTTTCCCCCAGGTGGGACGAGCTGTTCACCCTGGCCAGTGAGCCAAAGGAGCAGCACGTGCTGTTTGCTGAGCAAGTGGAGGATGCCACCAACGGCCTCCTCAGCACCCTGAGCGCCTCAGCGCTCTGCACCTCTGCTGATCCAGGTAGGACCGGCCAGCCTGCAAGGGAATGGCATTGAACCTCACAAACTGGGGCATGGATGGAACAGGGCTCCTAAGGCAAGAACCTCCCGGAGAGGGCTGGGGCATGGATGGAACAGGGCTCCTGAGGCAAGAGCCTCCCGGGGTGGGCTGGGGCATGGATGGAACAGGGCTCCTGAGGCAAGAGCCTCCCAGGGAGGGCTGGTAAGAGAGATGGCAGGCCCTGTCCTGAGGACTGCATTCTGTCTCCCTCTGGCTGACCTTGTTGGTTTCCCAGCTGGAGTCTATGGGGAAAGGGGGGCCTGGGTTTATGGCCAGTTTGGTTGGGCCCTCTCCCCTGTTGGGGAGAAAGAACCAAGTCCACACTCCTTGCTTGGCTGCATGGAGGGACTCAGGGAGGTTTGGGGCTTGTCTCTCCTGTTGGGGTCCACCCTATAACTAGAGGGACTGTCATTAGAAAGTACTCGTATGCATGCTCCATGTGGAACCCTGGTCGGAGAAAATCCTAAAAGTGCTTCCCTTCACCGCTCTGCACCAGAGAGGCCACGGGTTCTACAGGGAGGGTAGAGTAGGACCCCACAGCAGCAGTCTGGAGAGCGAGGGCAGAGGTGGGCAGTGCCCCTCATCTTACTGGGAGGGGACTGTCTTCTGACAGATTGCAGGGTGGAAGCTCACCCCTGTGAGCGCAAGACACTGGAGACCATCAGGGAACTGGCTGGCCATGCCCTGTGCTGGAGGGGGTCGAGGCAGGCGGATGCTGTGCTGGCTGTGCGCTGTCCCTTCTACAGGTTTGTCTACGTGCTCTGGGGCAGAGACACAGCACAGGGTCCATCCCATAATTCGGAGGGCTCTAGAACCGCAGGGAGATCAGCACTCTGGGTCCTGGTGCTGGACAGTTTGGAGCAGAAAAGCAGGCTACGTAGGATGAGGCCAGAGATGGAGCTCTGAGAACCAGGGAAGGCACAGCTACTTGCTGTAGGTCTCTTCCCTCTCCTGAACACTTAGCCTGGCTTTCCTTGGAGGTGGGAGAGGGGAGCTCGCATTGGAAATAGAAGCCAGGGAGAGTCTAGAGGGGGAGATAGTATTTGTATCTAGACCTGGGGGAGACAGGGATGATCCACATGCAAGTCTCTGTGGATATAATATTTGCCTCTGTCTCCCGAGTGCTGGGCCTAAGGGCACCACCATGCCCAACTACAATGCTAACTTTCAATGTGACGCCTAGTTTGTATCTTTTTTGAGGGTAGAGGGAAAGGCTCTGGGTCATTTGAAACATCCCCTACTTGATGCACAGAGAAGGAAATGAGTGTTTAGTGCTGTGATCTCGGAAACGTTTGGTCATTCCATCACTGTACTTCCTTGTATTGTAGCTGGAAGAGAGTGTTCCAGACACACCCCGGCACCTGCTACAGAACCATCTGTCCAGGTATGTGTGCCTCTTGGACCTACCAGTTCTCTGGGAAGCTGGTTTATGAAGGGACACTGGCAGCCCTGAGCGGGGATGGCCATGGATGAGGTCCAGGGCAAGAGGGATGGGCATTTAGTGGCCAAGGAGTGCGTCCTGCTGTCCCAAGTCATCATCTGCTTGGTGGCATACTGTCACTGATAGCATTGGAACTACCTGCCTTAGCCAATGCGCTTTTCATCAGTGAGGAACACCTTGAGTAACAAGACACCCCATGGGCTAGGGTGCTGTGTGTCCACTGGTAACACTGTGGGAGAAGTACAAGGACAGCGAAGCTCGTGGGGTGAACAAAGGTGCCCACGGATGTGGAGGCAGAAACATTCATCACTGGGCAGCCTGACTGTGGTGTGTTGAAAGCTCACCGCTCTTCTGTGCCAGGAGGTAGAAGCCTTGGGCACCCATAGGTAACTCCTTAACAAAGGAAGGCCATCGGCCCACAGTCATGCTGTTTCTACCTTGATGCTACTGAGATCACATCCTTAGTCCACCTGCCCACCCAGCCACCCCCATGCTGGCCCTTTCAGCCACCTCAGATAATGACAATGTCCTAACGTCACAGCTATGCAGACTCATCCTGGAGGAGACTCTAATCGTCTTGGGCCTTACCGAGGTCTTCCAACTGTTCCCAGTGCCCCTTCTAGGTATTTGATTCTTTCTTGGCTGTCCTCCTACCAGATGGTGTGGGAGAAAGCCGAGACCACCCTCCAGGCATCGCTCTCCACCCTGTGCTTGTGTTCTCGGCTTTTAGTGGGTATTTCTCTGACAGGCCCCTGTGACTCCCAGCCCTGCCAAAACGGAGGCACATGCATTCCAGAGGGTGTGGATAAGTACCACTGCCTCTGCCCGCTGGCATTCGGAGGGGAGGTCAACTGTGGTATGTATGCCTGGGACTCCAAGATTGACTACCTGCGGTAGCCCTTCTTGTCCCCTGCTAGCTGCTGGGAGAAAACAACCCTTAAATTTTCAAGCCACCTTCTTTCCCCATAGCCTACTATTCTGTCCTGCAGCACAGTCTCAGACATTCCACGGTTGATCCAGACAGTGACACCGCAGGCAGAGCTATGGAAGAGCCACTGCTTAATGTCTGTGGCTTGTTTGATGCCTTCTACAAAAGAGGAATAAGGAGTTCTAGCTTCTTTTGGTTTTGTGGGGAAGTTTCTATAAGCCTTAGCTCAGGGAGGTGGGGGATTGGGGGACGGACAGTTAAATAGGGGTTATGTAAGGTGCTCAGCACAGTGCCCAGCACACAGTGAGAACTTGTTAAGTAACTTTTCCAACTGTGCTATTTCCTTCGTCGGTGATCCTTATGGAACAAGTAAATCTCATACCTCAAGCCTACTCAAAATCAGTTCAGGGTACAACTGTACCTGCAAAAAGCAAAACAGGGAAGCTTCTAGAAGAAACATAGGAGCATATTTCCATGATATTAGAAGCTGACAAAGGCTATCTCAGGGCTCAAAGAGCACTAGCCACAATGGGGAGGAAAGTTAGAAGATGTGCTTTGCTTTATAAAAAGTAATCGGACTGCATCCCTCAGCAGAGGCAGGAAGACACACACTACCTCTGTCCCTTCTGTCTCTCTCTGTGACCCTTGGACACTTATTCCGGGGTTGCCAGCATCTTCCTGGGAGGTTCCTTGCGCTGAAGGTGGTATGGAAGCCTCTCCGGTAGGGCTGGTCCGCAAGCTGCAGTGGCCCTACATGACAGTATGTCTCACTGTGACTGACAGCCCCGAAGCTGAGCCTGGAATGCCGGATCGACATCCTCTTCCTGCTGGACAGTTCTGCGGGCACCACCCTGGAGGGCTTCCTGCGGGCCAAGGCTTTTGTGAAGCGCTTCATGCAGGCCGTGCTGAGTGAGGACTCTCGCGCCCGTGTTGGGGTGGCCAGTTACAGCCGGGACCTGACAGTGGCCGTGCCTGTCGGGGAGTACCAGGATGTGCCAGACCTGGCCAGGAGCCTTGACGGCATCCCCTTCCGTGGCGGCCCAACGCTGACCGGCAGTGCCCTGCTGCAGGTGTTAGAGCATGGCTTTGGGAGTGCCAGCAGGACAGGCCAGGACAGACCACGCAGAGTTGTGGTCCTGCTCACCGAGTCACACTCCCACGATGAGGTGGCCGGGCTGGCAGATCACGCAAGGGCCCGGGAGCTGCTCCTCCTGGGCGTGGGCAGTGAGATGGTGCAGGCGGAGCTGGAGGAGATAACCGGCAGCTCGAAGAATGTGATCGTCTACACGGACCCTCAGGACCTATTCAGCCAGATCCCGGAGCTGCAGAGGAGGCTGTGCAGCCAGCCACGACCAGGTAGAGTTGCACATCCTATCCTAGGGCCGGGTTGCCGGCAGGCAGGTTCGTCTTTCTTCTTAGCACCACTAATCATTTTCTTCTCCAGTGCCTGTGCTGGGGACTAGAATCAGAGTCACGCGGCCAGTAGAGACAGGGTGTAGCACTCTGTGGGGAACTAGCTAACACAAGGCACACATACACACAGCATGTCCAAGCGCTCTGCCGATTACAGGTATTACTACTAATTAAACTTGATCATTGTTATTAGTCTTAAGGAGCGCTGAGTCTACCAAGCCTCCTTGAGAAAGGCAGCTTTCTGGCCTCTCTACTGGTAGCTCGTTAGAGAGAAATACATTCTTGGGACACAGGCACACGTACACACGCTTGTTGTTGCACAAACACAGCCAAAGCGAACATTTCCCAAGGTGGTACCTACCCTGTCTCCCTGGCGTGTGCTATAGTACTTCTGTTCCATTGCTCTCAGGGCTGATATTGTGAGTAACTGTGAGAGAAAGAATGGCAGCCCCGGGAGTAGGCATGGGCATGCAGGGGCGGGGCCAGCACCGGGGACACCAGAGCCGGAACATTCCGTAAGAGCGTACTTCAGTATGGAGGAAACTGCACAGGGCACTCAGCATCCCAGGCACATTACTGTCCCCAGAGTCCCCACTCCTGTAGCAGTGCTGAGGACTGCTGTGCCCCCCCCCCCATTCTGTCCCTCTAGGACAGTCTCCTATGGCAAAGTGATTTGGGCTTTATTTTGGTTGCAGATATCCAGAAGAGATGCACCAGCTGCAGAGGGTCCCTGTGTTCGTTCCCTCACGTTAGAATGGATAGTTGTTGCAGTTAACAGACCAGGACTGATAAACTATTACTTAGTACCCTTCTCCTTTGCTCAGTCTCCTCAGCTTTTACCTGAAATCTCCTTGTCTTCCCCCTCCCCCATACCAGCAGTGTCCTCCTCCCAGGACAGCTAGTGGCCCTGTCTCCTCAGGCTCCTGTGATTGTGGCAGTTTCTATATTTTCCTTGTGCCCATTGTGGTTTTTAAGAGCCGATAAATCAGGTCACCAGACCCTCTGACTCCACATTGAAATGTTCCCAATGGCTATCTGCATCTCTAAGAAAGCTGAGCCCGTTCTGCTAGCTTCCGAGAGCTTCTTGTCTGGCTGTTACAGCCTCCACAGTTCCCACACACTGGAAGAGGGAGGAACCGCTTAGAGATACCCACCTGTCAGCTTCAGCTCTCTCCTTCTCCAGAGCCAGCAGGAGCCTCACCTCCTCAGGAACCCCCAAGGCAACCTTGTCCTGCTGCTCCCTCCGGCCCTTTCCCGCTCCCCCTACCGTGCTATAGACTGTGTGGCACACTCATGTTCTTTTCCCACCCACCTGTCATAGAGGGTGGGCATCAGCCCTCTTAATACACGTAATACTAGAGTCCTGTGTGTGGTACGTGCATGTGGCGAAAGGGGACAGGTGAAGTGCAGCCATCGGGGTCTCCAGAAAGACTCCATATGCTTTCATAGATCAGGGGTGAATGACCTGAGCCAGCAGGTGGTTTGACTTTGCCAGCTTGTGGCTTCCGTGTTGAGGTGCAGGTCACCGTGTGTCAATCAGCGAGAAGAAGAAGATGGGGGAGGAAGGCGGGAGGCAAGCAGCTTCCATTTGCTTGTGTTGGAACCGACAGTTTCAAATGTGGAAACCATGCTCCATGTAGATGGTGGCTACCACATTGCCACAGAGGCTGGAAATGGCACCCAAGTGGCCGCTTGTATTCACGCTGGCTGACCTGGACTCACGCCAGGACAGACAAGAGACCTCTTCTGCTTGCTCCTGCAGGCTGCCAAGCACAGTCACTGGACCTGGTGTTCCTGCTGGATGCCTCTGCCTCCGTGGGACCTGAGAACTTCGCACAGATGCAGGCGTTCATCAGGAAATGCACCCTCCATTTTGATGTGAACCCTGATGTGACACAGGTGGGCCTGGTGGTCTATGGCAGCCAGGTGCAGACAGCCTTCGGACTGGACACCCATTCCACCCGCGCCGCCGTGTTGCGGGTCATGAGCCAGGCTCCCTACCTAGGGGGTGTGGGGTCTGCTGGAACAGCCCTGCTGCACATCAACGACAAGGTGATGACCATCCAGAGGGGCGCCCGCCCTGGTGTCCCCAAGGCTGTGGTGATGATCACAGGTGGGAGTGGGGCGGAAGATGCAGCTGTCCCTGCCCAGAAGCTGAGAAGCAATGGCATCTCCGTCTTGGTTGTGAGCGTGGGGGCTGTCGTCAGGGAGGCTGTGCGGAGGCTCGCTGGTCCCCGGGACTCCCTGATCCATGTGGCAGCTTATGCAGACCTACGGTACCATCAGGACGCACTCACTGAGTGGCTATGTAGAGGTGAGTGGGAGAAGGGACGCATCTCTTAGAGCTGTCTGAGCCGTCACAGCTTCCTAGTCCTCATTTACCGTATCTCGGCTTAGGTGTTAAATCCTATAGTCCCACAAAGTTCCATAAATATACATCCAAGGGCCCAAGAATCAGTCTCTGATATCAATCACGTGCTCAGCTGTTACGTCAGGACCAAGGGTGTTCATTCAGCTCCATGGCCTTTAAGATTGAACTGTGCTTGCTTAGAATAAGGGGGCCTTTGGATCTGACCCAGGCTTGGGCACATTCTCTTTTGCAGAAGCCAAGCGGCCAGTCAACCTCTGCAAACCCAGCCCATGTATGAATGAAGGCACCTGTGTCCTGAAGAACGGCAGTTACCGCTGCGAGTGCCGAGGTGGCTGGGGAGGCCCCCACTGTGAGAACCGTGAGTGGGTTCCTTCTGCGAGTGTGGATGGGGATGGTCTCCGTCGTCCTGCCAAGTCCTACAGACTCAGCAGAAGGCAGGCTGTCCTATTCAGTCATCTGCCCGTCCCCTAGGAAACATGTGGAAGGGTCTTCCATGTCCCAGACATTCTTTTCTAGGGTCGGAGATGCAGGGCGATGGCTGAGACAGAAGATCTGCCCTGTGGAGCTTCCATTCTAGTGTGCAGTACAGTGCAGCGGTGGCATTGGGAGGAGTCAGGTGCCCTGGAAACAGCATGACAGCGGGGAGGGAAACGCAGAGCATAGGGACAGTATTGGAGGTGGAACCAGAGACATGCGGGTGAGTAGACACAGGGACAGTATTGGAGGTGGGACCAGAGCATAGGGACAGTATTGGAGGTGGGACCAGAGACATGTGGGTGGGTAGACACAGGGACAGTATTGGAGGTGGGACCAGAGACATGCGGGTGGATAGACACAGGGACAGTGTCAGAGGTGGGACCAGAGACATGCGGGTGGGTAGACACAGGGACAGTGTCAGAGGTGGGACCAGAGACATGCGGGTGGGTAGACACAGGGACAGTGTCAGAGGGGGGACCAGAGACATGCAGGTGGGTAGGCAGTGTGGCAGCCGCTGCCCATTCTTGAGTATCTCCATTTGTTTGGTGACATACGGGAACAGCCTGCTGGGTGGGGGCGAGGTGCTGGAGCCTTAAGAGGAAAGGTGCCATAAGGGAGAGCCAGATAACAGGCCTGGGGGGACAGCAGCACCCGAGCCTCCTACATCAGGCAGAAATCAAGACAACCCCAAGTTATGGGTTTTCAGCCCTCGGTGCACATTGGCTTCCAACGGCCAAGGAGGAGGCATGGGTGGTGGGGTGGAGGTCTGACCTGGCATCTTTCACTCAGGGGATTGAGTTGTGGAGTGAAAAGGACATGAAGTAGCCATTGGCTGAGGGGAAGACTCAAGCACCCTCAAAATTCACTTTCTTTCCCAGGCATCTTGAGAGGCGATGCTCCCATGGCAGAGCCCACAAGAAGACAGCAGCCAACCCCCTCCCAGCAAGCTCCCGGGCATCTCAGGATCTGAAAGACACTGTATGGCCCAGTATACCTCCTGGGGTCCTGGAACAGCTGCTTCCAGCTCTAAGCAGCGCTGTCCTGCCCACAAGCCTCTGCCACAGAGAACTTTGCTGCTTGGGACGTTGGAAACTCCTAACGTGTCAGTATTGATGTCCTGGATCTGCTGGTCACTTTTCTAGAGGATAAGAAAGAGGTCAGGGGAATTTGATGGCCTGTTTGGGGGTCATTTTGACCATCGCAAATGCTAGACAGAATGCTGGAAAGGTTGCAGTGCCCAGAGGAAGGCGTCCGACAGAGTGTACCATGTGATGGTATTGACACAAAACGTGGGCTTCTCCATTTTCCAAAGATAGCTTGTGGATTTAGCTTGAAAAAGGATTTTGTGGCATTTGTGACTTTTTCTGGTGATCAGATCTGCATGTGGGAAAGACATTAGGAAGGTCTCAGACAGCAATCTGACCATTTATAACCAGTCTGAGTATACAGACGGGGCATAGTGTACAAACGGCTCTGGTCTCCCTGTGTGGTTGGTCTGGGTGCTGCGCAGGAAGACCTCCAGGGGGTTTCCTTTCAGAGATTATTAGAGAGGCGAGTGGTACGGGGGTCCTCTTTTTAGTGGTGGCAATGAAGGGCAGACTTCACAAACTCGGTCGGCCATTAAGGAGTGAAGGGGTAACGAGGAGGTTCTCTTTGAAAGCTTATTGGATTGCTTTGTCTTACATGCTTCTCCCGCTCAGTCACTGGTGTATGTGGAGTAGTTGTGTCTGTGTGGCCGAGAGGACTCTTTGAGCACCTAACTCTGCAGCGCTAACGTGTGCTGTTGGGAGCTGGGCTGCCAGCGGCAGCATGGAGCGCTCTGAAGCTGCAGACAGCCTTTGAGAAGCATGGGTAATGTCATGATGCGATGCGTACGACATAAGCTCCCACTGTGAGAGGTCCCCACCATTACAGGTGTAGAGAACCTTGTCGGGGTTCTGTGCGCCAAGTCTGTCTGGCCGAGACGCTACTTCTCTCTCCAGGTTTGCGCTGTGATTCCCCCAGCCACATTTAGACTGCGGATACGGACAGTTCCATATTGTTACATTTCAATCATTGAACCGATCTTCTGGCTCCACGGATAAGGTCTGGTTTGCAGTATGTAGACATTTTTCTATCGGAGCAGTGCTAACTTTCATCCTGTTGCATCCATGATCTTCTCAGCAGTGTCTGTATTTAAGGCTTCCCTGTCAATTCTGCTTTTCCGTCTGCTTTGGTAGCGTGTTCAAGGAGTCAGAATTTGGTCTTGTTGATTTTTAAGTAGAAAATAAATACATTTATGTTCTAAATTTCCTTAATCATTGCATAGGCAGCTTTTTACACATCGGTATGTTTCTTCTCTCCAAGAGTTTCCTGTTTAACATCCAGAGGTTTGGTTTCCAATTGTATGCATGACATTAGCTCCCTTGAGGCATTTCCTGTGTATTTGGTACCTTATCGATTATACAGAAATTAACTCAGAACTTGATTAAGGATCCTTATTGCTAGGCTACCCTTTGTGGCTCGGCCAGTTTTTACAGTTTATATTTAAATTCATTGTGTAAATAATCAAGACTTTTGCCCCGGGTCATGCCATGAAATACAAGGGAAACCCAAAATACAATGAACATTTTATTTAAAAAAATCTAACTCACCACTTGGTAAAGATCACCAAGTGTTTATTTCACAGGAAATAAATGCCCTGGGATTAGAAAGACAATATGCATAAAAAATATTTAGCCTTCAGGAACCAGTGTTCGATAGCTGATTCTGAATGCCCAGAAATGGGGTCGATGAAATGTTTCAACCTGTGTTAATGCCATCACAGAGACGGAGCACAAAAGGACAGCCACTGGCTGCTCACCACTCTGTCCTGCAAGGGGACCAGACATTAAAAACATCTTTAAAGTGGAATGAAGAGGCGATTAACTAACTTTTCTTACAAATGGCCTGGCCACAGGACGGAGTCTGTAAACACAGGGAGTTTCCCCTATCCAATACAGCATTGTTTAAGAGTTTGTCTTTGAAAGGCAGCTGAATCAGCAAAGTCCTTGGTGGAGTCAGTGCCTTAGCTTGGTCCCAAATGTGTCCCTGCTACTGGTCTCCAGAGTTCACGCCTTTGGTGGCCAATGCTCTTTAAGATTACCCCTAACACTGCCAAATGCAGGATTAAAGATAAGGGGTCAGCAGTTTACATTTTCTTGTCACCAAAGCCACTTGGCCATTTTTTCCACCACTTAAAAATCTTGATAAAACAACAGATTGATGGATGGATAAAAAAAAAAAAAGGTGCAATGTCTCACTGATGGCCAATAGACTTAGGTCTCCAAAGAAGCTGCTGCCGCCGCCGTACTCCCTTTGGCCTGGAAAGGGGACAATGCCTCCTTCACGGCACCTCATTCCTTGCTTTTCTTCTGCACAGACTCACCCTTCCTCAGAGGGGCTGTTTATCGACGACTTGACGGAAGCAGGGTTGTCACCAAGGTCCACACTGACGCAGAGTCTCTAGGTGGTTGATTTGTGTTTCCTAACTGGCTCCTTTCTTCTCCCATTCCTGCAGTACCAAACGTAAGCACCCAATAAAGAAAGTTATCCTTTGTAGCCACCTTTAATATACGTAGAAAAGGCAAGAAAACTGTAAGCGCGAAAGCAGTTACAAGCACAGCTAGCCTCATCTCTGTGTGGGGCAGCTCTGGAGAGTTTGCGGCCGTGGGTCACGCAAATGCTGTGATTGATTACTGACGCCTGCATGGTAAGGGGGCGGAGCTCTCATTCAATTAGATGGATTTAATAGTTCACCATTGGTGTGGGTGTCTGTCTCACCAAGTACACAGGACAGGAACAAGGAGCACACTGGGTTCATCAAAGCCAAGGCAGCTCCTAAGCATGCTTCTTCTTATACACATGAGTTAAGAATTAATAATGCTTCTTGCTTAGTCCTTGGGCAAGAAGCCATGACATGGAATCTTGAGCCTTTTATCGCTAGCCTCTTTGGTTTTGATGGTAGACACCCTTTGGATTAAAAGCATTTCAGTTGCAGCCTGCCTGGAATCTACTCCTGAGTGGAGGGGATGCCCTCAGGCTCATTGGGAGAACACTCGAATTAAGTACCTCGCTGGTTAATCAGTGCCAAAGACTGAGCCATGTGGTTTTCTTCAGAGAGCACACCTCTCATGCAGAGCTAATGCCAAAAGCCCATGCAGTGTTCCATCTCCTGCCAAGAGGCCCTGGGGGCGGGCACGGGGGCAGGACTCACCTTGGCTTTCTGTAGGACGGTGCCTTTGCCTGTGACCATGATGGAAAGAGGCCTGTTCTTGAGCACGGAGGCAGAGTTGACTGGGGTAGAGTCTGGGGTGGGGGTGGGGGCGGCAGCTTTGGGTTGTGCCTGAGGAGGAGAACAAGGGCTGGGTCAATAGGTTTACAAACATAAAGCCCGTCTCTCCCGCCTGTGTGCAGGAGCCCCGCATACAGCTCAGAGGAGCTGCAGTGCCCGGCACTCACGCGAGGGCTCATGTTGTCCAGGTGGGTGGTATCCACAGCTGTGCCCAGCGTCACGGGTCCAGCCTCGGCCTTCTTCAGGTTGTCCTTCACCTCCATGATGTTGAGCTCAAGGTCCACAAGCCTGCTCTCCTTGATCCGGCACTCCTCATCCACTCTCTTCAGCTTCTGCTCCAGGTTGGCCAGGACTCCCTTATCTGCAGAGAGAATGAAACTTGCTGCAGAAGCCAGTATTTCAGCCAAGGCCAGGGAGCTACGCTGCACAGAGGCAGGGTTTGCATGCACCCCTTCATGTGGACCACATGTCTGCATGGAACACGGAAAGGTGGGAATGGGCCTTTCAGTGGGCAGTGAACAGCCTTCTAGCTGGGATCTGAGTTATTGGTTCTCACAGGCTCTCGAGGGCAGAGGGGGAGCTCTGCTCCCACAAGCAGACCTGAGCCTGAGCCCAACTTCATGCTGGTGATCCTCACACTCAGTTCTGGCCTGAAGCAACTTTTCCAATGGCCCTTGGAGGGCAACTGGGACATTCTGCCCTGGCCCATACTGTTGCCTCTATCCCCTGGTGCTTGCAGCTTCCCAAGGCCAGACTGGTCCCCAACCTTGGGATCCCCTTGTCCTGGAGTTAAATGATTACCTGCTAGAGCAAGTTGAGAGTGTCACCTATGTTCAACCCAGGGCTCCAGCACCACTTAACAACCATGAGAAACCTGCCCCGCTATTCTTAAGCTTTACGAGCAGCCCTGGGTGGATGGCATGGCAAACAGTAACAGAAGCTCCGTATTAGAAAAATACAGAGGAAAATTAGCTAGTGTTCGTGATGGGTGGCGTTCTGAATTTGCACATAGATATCATTTATAGCCAACATCAATGCTTTGAAATCACTTTCTTATCTGTGACTACGAGATCAAAGAGTTTATTTGCCAGGAGAATAAACGTTAGATGTGCCTTTTCCCTATCTGGAATAGCTATGTCAGAGAGCCAGGGAAGCCTAGACCCCTCCCTTCTTCACAGCCCAGCTCGGTGTATTTAGGGGGTTCCAAGGACTGCTATGGGTGAGCCTCTGTCACCTCATGTCCCAGCCTTCCAATGTGAGCTGCTGATATACATGATGCTGGATCTCGGTCACTAATTTACCAGACTGAATGACACCCAGGAGAGCAGTAAAGCATGCCTGTGATGTCTGGGGTGGTTCCCAGAGCTGAGCTCCCGAATCCGGTGGTAGATGGGAGGATGGTAGACCTGTGGGAGGTGGGGCCTTGTTTGGGACAGTGGGCTCTCAGGACACGACTCTGAGAGCTGTCTTTTGACTACTCTACCAGAGCTCCTTCAGCCTCTAAGTAGTTTCAGATATTACATCAGAGCAATAAAAACCCGCCACAGGATGTCTAAGAGTGCAGATCCCTAGAAACAAAAGGTCTCACGGAGAGGGAAGGAAACAAAGTATCTGCTTACAGATTCAGGCTTTCTGTGGGGCTGGTGAGCTGCTGTGGTGGTCTGAATGAGGATGGCCCCCACTGGTTCATACACTGAATGTTTGGTCCCCAGCAGGGGGAAACTATCAAAGGATTAGGAGGCGTGGCCTTGCTGGAGGGGATGTGTCCCTTTCAAAAGCCCATGCCATTCCTGGTTAGCACTCTCTCAACCGTGTGGTCCCAACATGTGAGCTATTGATCCAGTGCCATGCCTGCCTGCTGCCCCAAGTCCCACCATGACAGTCATGGGCTCAACCACTCTGGAACCATGAGCCCCACAATACATGCTTTCTTTTATAAGCTGCTGCCATGGCAATGGGAAAGTCACCAATACGGCTGCTAACTGAAGCGCTCTCTTGTGTACTTTAAATGGGGTCACCGCTGGACAAATGGGCTCTGTCTTGACTGAAGGAAGGTCTTGGGGACAGTCGCTCTGCTTTTCAGTTGTCATCATGCCACAAGCTTCCCAGGAACTGCTGAGGGCTGCAGACCCCGGCCCCTTGACTTCCTTTGCCTGCTGCAGTGAACTGAGCAAAATAATTTGTTTACCTGTGCCTGCAGCTGCTCTGAGCACGAGACCCTGATTGCAGGGGAGTGGGTTCTGGTGGGCCTGTGACTGAAATATCCTGAGAGCTGGGGTGTGGCCAGAGCCCTATATAAGCTGCCACTGAGCACAAGAAAGTTGGCATTTTTGTATCAAGGAGTCCCCATGTCCCTGTGTCTCTGTCTGTGTGCATGTTTTTAAGTCTCCAACCTAGTTCCCAGCTCGCATATCCCACCATACCCCAGGGTAGTGCAGGCGCTACAAGGAACCTGTCGTCATATTTGTCCCCAAACCTGCTAAGCCAGTTGTGCAGGCTGGCACAACTCTGTAATTTAAATATCCAGTGAGATCCAGGTCAAGTAACTCAAAGTCCTCAGAGGTGGGTTGCTAGGAAACCTCCCTTGGATGATGTGAGACCTCGGAGAATCACCTAGAAGGCCTCAGAATTCTTTGGGTGTCTTGATTTTATGCACTTAAAACAGCAGCCTGGAGATTAAAGTGCACTGCTGGTGTGGTTAACGTAAGGATGACTTGGGACATCAGGTCTCAAACCCATCCTGGGAATAGCCTAACTACCTGCTGGTGCTGTGGACCCTGGTCCGTGGATCTGGGCAGAGACTGCCTCAGACAGAACCAGCGGCCTTTCCAAGAGCGAGGCCACTGGGGGGGGGGGGGGGATCCAGAAGTCAGACAGACAAATCCTGGTCCTTCCCTCTCAAAGCCCTGTTCCACCCTGGCCCTCAACCCGGAGCCCCTACCTGTGCACCTCAGCAGCATCTCTTTGAGTTCCCGCTTGTCTCTGCGGAGCTGAGCCAGGTGCCCCCGGATCTCCTCCTTCTTCCTCTCCAGCCTTTCCTTCTCCTCCGTGTACCGCTTCACCTCGGCCTCGGTCCGGTTCTTCCCAAGTTTGATCTCTACAGACCCAGAGAGGGAAAGGCTGGTACCAGCAGGAATGGATGAGGGCTGGACCTAAGCTCACTTCCTAGACTTAGAACCTAGGGCGCGGCAGAACACCCATGCTGAGCCAGCTCAGCAGGGATGGGGTTGGTCCCTCGGTTTTATTTTCCTGTGTTCGGGGACAGGTTCCTTCACCTCTTTTAACCTGTCTCCTCACACGAAAGGGAGGGACTCAGACTAACTTCATTTTAGACTACTGTCCTGACTAAAAGCCTGGGCCTGATCCATGTACCTGCGCTGGTCACCCTCAGCTTGTCCTTCACAGGCGGGCTGGCACTGGTGGGGGCAGAAACCACGGTGTCCGGGCAGTTGCCTGGGAAGGAGATTCTCTGCTGCTCGGCCTGCAGTTTGACTGTGGGGATTCTCAAGGCAGGCTCCAAGGGTTCCGAAGACTCCTGACTCTCCAGCGGCCTCTGTACCAGGAGAAATCACACTCCATGAACACAGGGCATGGCGAGGTGGCTGGGCACCTAGGGGGTGGGGGGGGGCTTGTACCTGCTGCTCCTCCAGGCTTTCTGGAGACCCTGTGTGGGGCTCATCTGGGGTGAGGCCAGGGTCTGGGTCTACTGTGAGGGTCTCGGCTAGGTCGTCCTGCTGTGGCAATGCTGGGAGCGAGGCCTCTGCCTGTCCCTCACTGGGGCCGTGCAGGAAGGACTTGACAGGAGTGAGATCCAGGTACACTCGGTCGAGCTCACTCTCGCTGTTAGCATCTACAGTAGGGGCAGCCTCCTCAGCAGGCTCTACCTATAGGAAAAAGTCAGGTAGTGTTTTATTGCTTCATTCCCTTGGCTGTAGGGGACCTGGTCTGGGGCCTCCTGTCCCCTCCCATGCTGGAGTTTCTGGGTAGCCCCTTCCCTTCCGAGGGAACTCTCTGTGGAGTCCTGGGTGGGATGGCAGAGTCCAGAGGCAGAAGACCCAGGACGTAGCACTCTGTAAAGGAGAAAGTATCAAGGTCTTTCTATTGGGCGGGGGGGGGGGGCAGGATTGAGGGAGGCGAAGCTGCCAACCACTCTGCCTCGTTCCAGAAACAGGCCCCTGCTGCCGGCATGCTCAGCCTGCCTCAGTTACTGATGTGGCCCTTGAAGGCTAATGGTGTCACCGCTTCTACTCGACACCACCCACCATCGACTCTACCTCAGCACTGACCAGAGAGAATAACTGGGTGTTTTATCTAGATAGGTCTCCAGGTTAGACCTACAACCCCTTGCACAAAAGATGAGGGGTCTGCATTGGTGGCCCTGTAGGTGACCTGGGGGCTGCTCATCTTGGGGACAATCTGACCCTCTGTAACAGAGCTTTGGCAGAAGGACCCGACAGTCCATGCCACCGCCCAAATGCTTACCACCGTCATTGACTCCGACATGACGTCATCGTATAGCTCCTCTGGGCAGTCCCGACTGGGCAGGCCGTCAATGTATGTGTTGGGTTCTGAGAACTTTCTCTGCATCAGTCTGGAAGACATAGATGGGTGCATGAAGCTTCCAGGACCCTGCAGGATCCCACCAGCATCAAAGAATGCAAACAAAAGCCCCTGGCTACACAGAGCTCTGAGTTAAGTGCCCAGAACTCCAAGTCCCTCCTCAGATGCCTACGGTCTTCTTCTTCAGGCCCTTCCCTTTTATATGTTCATCCTAGCACCAGCCACAAGATCTCAGTACATCTCACTTGTACACTTGGGGCAGCTCAGACAAAATGCCTCTCCATTTTGTATGTTAGGGAACAAGCCTGTTCCAGTGGCCAAGCTGGCTTCTGTTAATATTGACCAAGATACACCTGCCTGAGCCCATAGGCCCTTGTGTAAAACAGAAGTGCCTGCCTCGCCCTGCATATCCCAGAATGCACAGCAGACCCAGTGAAGAGTCCAGAGGAAGGGCAAAGGGTGTCAGGGAAGTCACCTAATCTGTCTTTGGGAGCTGGAGAGTGTCTAAACAGGGCTGTGTCACGCAGCTCCTCTGTGGTTAGTTCTCATCTGCGTCTCTGGGCATGCAGCTCCCCTGTGGCTAGCTCTCATCCGGGTCTCCCTGGGCTGTGCCACACAGTTACTAGCTTCCTTCTTTGTACCTCCCTATGCAGGACCAAGCAGGACCCATCTGACCCCGCACTCTCAGTGGCCACACTGCCCCAGCTGCCCACCAGGTCTAGAAGCAGGGCTGGACAGGAAGATGTGCAAAGAAAGGCCTCTTCTTACTCACAAGAGAGAGGTTTTGGCCGCACTCACAATACAGGAAACCCTTTCTGCGTCCACATAGTCATAGGTGAACTCCTCTGGGTCTGTCTTGGAGCCTGATTCTGAAAGCAGGAGGCCTAGCCAGTGGCCCATCTCCTCTGAGGACTTGGCCTAGAAGAACACTGAGAGTCATGAATGCCATCCTAGCCAGTCCCACCCCTAGGCCAGAACAGCTCACTCCCATCCCTACCAACAAGCACAAAATAGCCTGCGTAGGGCACCCCAGTTTTACCAGCACACTGTATCCCCAAGTGAAACCAAAGAGCATTTCCTGGTAGTGAGTGCCACAGTGCCACCCAGTGACATCCCAGACATCAGTGGGGAACACCACGTGTAATCTCTAGACACGTGTTTCTAGGTGCCGATACTACATTCCAGGGTAAGACCACGAAAGATAATCAAGAGTTGTCATCTGCTAGTTGTTGCTAAAATTCTTGGTTACGGAATGACTGTACACATTGTAGGTTGACCCTTTACTTCATGGGCAGTCACTGTCCCTTTTATTGTCTTAACCCATGCTTGCAAGATGGAGACACTTCCTAAGAAATAACAACGTTCAGTTTTGTTTTGGTTTATGACATTAATAATGTCAAGAAATGAAAAATAACCTAATCCAAGAGCCATATTAATTTACCAGCTCAACCCCAGCCAGTCTGCTGTGTGTCCTCTTCTAGGGGACAACGCTTGCTAATCAACTGTAGACAGGGACATTTCTATTCAAATGTCAGTATTGTTTCTATAAAAGCCACAGGCTACCCCTCTGGCCTCATGCCACACGTCCCACCACCCCTCTAGAGATGCAGTTAGAACCCAAGCTTGAACTTTGGTTGGTGTGACGTTCACTGTCATCTTCACTGTCTGTTGAGTGGATACGGAAGGACTGATGAGACGCACTTCTGGGCATGTCTGTGAGGAAGTGCCGCAAGGTTTAAATGAAGGGGGAAACACCCTGCACATGGATAGCACATTCATGGACTGAGGTCCAGCACTGGATAAAAAGGAGATGTCTCCTGGCTGCGGATGCCGTGACCAGTCACCTCACACCTCTGCTGTCATGCTGCCCGCAGGATGCCATGAGTCAAATCAGTTTCTCCTCCTCTAAATTTTTCATCAGCATTTGTTCACAGCCACAAGGAAAGGAAGACAATTAGTTTCTTTCCCATTTATTTCCTGTTGGATTTCTCAATGCTGCCTTTAAAGGTGTCTCCTAGGTCACCGTCCCCACACTGGCAGGTGCAGAGACTTCCTGGTGGTCTAGGTCACTGTCCCCACACAGGTCAGGTGCAGCTGCTTCCTGGTGGTCTAGGTCACCGTCCCCACACTGGCAGGTGCAGAGACTTCCTGGTGGTCTAGGTCACTGTCACCACACTGGGCAGGTTGTCTAGGTCACTGTCCCCACACTGGCAGGTGCAGCTGCTTCCTGGGGGTCTAGGTCACTGTCCCCACACAGGTCAGGTGCAGCTGCTTCCTGGTAGTCTAGGTCACCGTCCCCACACTGGCAGGTGCAGAGACTTCCTGGTGGTCTAGGTCACTGTCACCACACTGGGCAGGTTGTCTAGGTCACTGTCCCCACACTGGCAGGTGCAGAGACTTCCTGGGGGTCTAGGTCACAGGTCACTGTCCCCACACTGGGTAGGTGCAGTGACTTCCTGGTGGTCTAGGTCACTATCCCCACACTGGCAGGTACAGAGACTTCCTGGGGGTCTAGGTCACAGGTCACTGTCCCCACACTGGGCAGGTCAGGAGCTTCCTGGTGGTCTTACTTTTGTCACTTCTTGTCCATTTTCCATCTACACATACCCCAAACAGTAGGATTTTAACATCAATTTGGATCATGTCATCTCTTCTGAACCCCTCCAAGGGCTCCCAAGCTCTTAGGATACAAGCTCTATTCTTTTCCCAGCCTCGTGCTATGTCAAGCGAACATTCATGGAGCCATTATCCTTCCTTTAATCATAACTAGACAAACTAATTGTGTAATTATCCAAATGTCCCCCACACTACCAAACGAGAAAATAAGTTCTGAGGACAGAGGCCAGTTTTCTGTCATCCAATGAGGCTAGTGGGTAAATGAATGGGTGAAGGTGTCTCTGTGCAGCCAGGTTGGTGTAGACGTTTCAGCCACCAGAGGGCAGCATTGAAGCAGATTTTTGGAAGACCCCTGGATCAAGGGCTAAGTGGATGGGAGTTAATGGGCAAGTGCTTACTTGTGAGCAAGAAACTTGGCCCCGCCTGCGGGCTCCTTGCAAGCTTGCATTATGTCATCTCTTGTTTTTGTAGCTGTACCAGGGCACGAACCCAAGGGCAGGGAGAGACCTAAATGTAACTGTATCACAGAGCAAAGTCCTGATCCCAGATAAATCCCGACAGCCCTTGTTTTTGTGTACCTCTGGGTTCTGGTTGGTGACATATGTAGTGGCATTTCGTTTGTATTTTAATAAATAAAGCTTGCCTTAGGATCAAAATAGTAAAACAGCCACACTTCCAGCCTTACAGACCAGGCAGCAATAACACACACCTTTAATCCCAGTAGCCTCAGTAGCTTGCCATAGAAGCCAGGTGGTGCATGTCTTTAATCCCAGTGGTGCATGCCCTTAATTACAGAACTAGAGAGGAGTACAAAACAGGAGGAGACGGCCCTCAGTCTCCGTCCCGTTCTGAGATTCTTGGAGGCAGGATCGCCATTTCGGACTGAGGTAGAGGCAAGAGCCAGTGATTTGCTGTTTTGCTTTTCTGACCTTTAGGTAGAATCCCAATTTCTGTCTGAGTTTTTATTAATCGTGCTATAGGCATGCAAAGTAAACATCACTCCTTTGACTGTCAGAAGCCTCTCTGGCATCTGTAGGAGCTAAAAGTACCCCCTCATTGCCCTAAGTGCAGGAAGCCTCCCATGGTCCCAACCCTGTAACAAAGCCACCTACCCTGAGGTCTGAACAAGAACGGACATTTAAAAAATGCAAACAACGGCAGGTATGGAGGTAAATATAACATGAAGCCACACTGATTCTGTCTCAGTGGGATCATGGTCCTCGGTGCACCCGCTGACAGCTGAGACTGCCCACCCTTGGGTGTCCTTCCTGCCGGCCCCACACCCAGTGTACCTCAAGCTTGGCCAGCTCCTCGCCGTTGTGGAGGATGCGGAAGGAGTACAGGTGGTCAGGGCAGGGGTCTGGAACCACTTCACAGCCCACCAAACTGAGGGGCTGCTGGGCAGCCTTGTTCCGGTTCCGGTCCTGGTAGAAGTGCAGGTGGCTATCTCTAACGAAGCACCAACGTGACTTCCACTGGCTGTTGACCAGTACATTTAGGTAGCCTGCAGGAGGAGACGTAGATGATAGGAGGATGAGGCCACTGGAGGGGACACATCCAAAGAGGACAAAGTCCTCCAGCAAGGGGTGTGGCTGCAAGGGTGGTGTAGGAGGTCCTTCTGTCTATGGGTTGCTTTTAATGAATGAAGAAACTGCCTTGGCCTGTTGATAGGGCAGAACTTAGGTAGGCAGAGAAAACTGGACTGCATGCTGGGAGAAGGAAGGTGGAAAGAGAGATGCCATGGAGCCGCCAGAGACGGACACTAGGAATTTTACCCAGTAAGCCACTGTCACGTGGCGATATACAGATTAATAGAAATGGGTTAATTAATATGTAAGAGTTAGCTAATAAGAAGCTAGAGCTAATGGGCCAAGTAGTGATTTAAATAATACAGTTTCTGTGTGGTTATTTTGGCTCTGGGTGGCCGGGACGAATAAGCAGCCTCCTTCTAACACAGGGGGACCTAGAAAAACCACAGTGCCTAGGGAAGGCACTGTCATCAGGCCTCTTTGAAGGTCACCTGTCTCAGAACCTGTCATGTCATCCTTGATTGAGGCTGTGAATCTCAGACCACCTTGTTTTCTTCCTTTGGGTAAATAGGCCTACAGAGGCAAGGCAATACAGCTAGCTTTGTTCTTGCACAAGTATGGCCAGAGGAATGTGAGATTTGTCCTCCATAGTAGGACTGGTGAGTACATGTGGAGGATGAAGGCTCCCCCACAAGAACTCATCTCCAGGGGTCTGTGTTTCAGCAGGAAACCCTACTTCCCGTACTCAAGCCAAACCTCCTGGTTGCAGAATCTGCTGTTGCCTCTGTTTTCCCAGCTTCCCGGATATGTGCTCCAGACTCAGCCCACAGTGTCTGGCCGTTCTCTTTCATCCTGAGCAGGTGCGTCCACTCTTCTCTAGCCCTGACTCAGTCTACCTTCAGTTAGAAAGTCTAATGTCTAGTGCAGCAAAACTCAGCTTCCATGCTGACCTCCGCTGGGCACATGCGCCTCTCCAGGAACTGCAGCAGTTCCTCTGCAGAACCCATGTCTGCAGCCTGCAGCCTTTTGACCAGGAACCCTGCTCCCCTGTAGTGCATAGAAGCTACCAGAAGCAGGGTATGATGTGGGAGTGGTTTCTTATTAATAAAGAAACTGCCTAGGCCCCTTGATAGGCCAACCCTTAGGTGGGTGGAGTAAACAGAACAGAATGCTGGGAGAAAGAAACTGAGTCAAGGAGTCGCCATGATTCTCCTACCGGACACAGACGCAGTTAAGACCTTCCCTGGTAACACACCTCGTGGTGTTACAGGGATATTAGAAATGGGTTAGATCGATATGTAAGAGCTAGCCAATAAGAGGCTTGGAACTAATGGGCCAGGCAGTGTTTGTACACGGAAAATACAGTTCCCGTGTAATTATTTTGGGGCATAAGCTAGCCATGTGGGCGGCTGGGTGCCGGGGACGCAGCCTCGCTGCTCCTATCACTACAAGGGTGCTCTGATGGCTCTCACTGTCCTCACACAGGATCTAGTCACAAACATGGGCATAAAATTCACTGTAGCAGGACAGAACCTGGTGAAGCATAAAGAACAACCCATAGGGAAGACAAACCCAAACCCCAGCTTTGTGTGCTCTCCGGCCAGCCCCAGAATCCTCTGCCTTCTCTGTTTGGGCTCGCCTTCTAAGACAGGCACCACCACACAGTGAAGAAGCCCAGGGCCCTGGTGGTCGCCATGGGTCGTACTTGATGTCTCGAGGGATCTCTCTGGGGGCTCCAGCGAGGTGGACTTCTTCCTGCCCAGGTTCATCAGGTTGCTCAGTTTGAGGCCAGCAGAACACTTCTTCTTGACTGTCATGACCAGAGAGAAAGCTGTCAGTGATGGGCACAGCCTACCCACACGCAAACCTTCCCCTCTCATCCCACCCAGCCTATACATGCTCGTGCACACACACATGCACGGGTGGTCATGCACACAGACATCTTCCCCACATGAGAATCGACAGGCCAAGTCAGCTATTCACAAAGTCATGCACGCATGGGGATAACAAGCGTCTCGGTGTAGGTGAACCCTGGGAATCTTTACAGACAGCGTGGCCTCAAAGACATCTCAAATAGGACTGGAAAACAGAGCTGGAGGAGGTTCTCACTCCCCCAGGCTGTGGCAAAACTTAACTTTGGTTTGGCCCTCTCTCCTTTCATTCTTTTGGAGGCTATATTAGAATCGGCTACTGCCAAAACAACTAGGGTTGAGCGGGACAGTCAGGTCTCACACCCGGTAGACCATTGCCCTCTCACCCATGAGGTAGAGAGCCATAGCCTGCTTACCATCTTTGGTCTCTGGGACCTCCGGGGGGCCATCAATGGAGCTCCCATACTCTGAAGCTGGCAGGTACTTCTCAGCTATATCTGGCTGTGGACAACAAAGAGATGGACAGGGGTCACCCACTGGGAACCAAGGACTGGAAAACTAAAATTTAAAGGGAAAAAGAGACCTTGAAACCAAATCTCTTCCAGCCAGCACTGAGGTCACTGGGAGGACACTGGCCAAGCTGCCTTTGGAGCTCTCTGGAGTATCTACTATCACCCTCCTTCCTAAGAACCATATTCCACCATCCTCAGGGTTCCTTCCCTGACATCCTGTTTGCAAGTGCTCCAAATACCTGTGGACCTGATTGGACAGTGGGCCCAAGGCCAGTGGGAAGCTGGGCCTGCAGGGAGGACTGCCATCCTCAAGCAGGGGGAAGGGAACCCAAACTCATTCCTGTTGGCAGTCAAACAATGAGTGAAACCCCAAAGACACTCCTTGCTGAGCTGTAGGGCTTTCCATGTGGCCTTTAGCCTTTCAGAGAATAAAGCGCCGTCCCTCCTCATCTTCCTCCTTCTCCTTGCTTAAGTGCTATGTGTACCCTCTTGTTTCCTGCCCTGCCAGAGCTAGGGACACAAGCTGAGACAACCACACTCCTGTGACTGTTGGGTGCTCCCTGCCTGAGATAACCATGCCCCTGTGACTACCATGCCTGTGACTGTTGTGTGCTCTTTGCCTGAGACAACCATGCCCGTGACTATTCTGTGCCTGAGACAACCGTGCCCCCGTGACTGTTGCGTGCCTCCTGTCTTTTGACATTTAGGAATAGGAAGGTTTACCCACAGATTGTTCCACTTAGTCCAGCTTCCTTGATCCTTAAAACCAAAGTTCCCCAGAGGGCTGTGCCAGGCGGCCCTGGAGCCATTGGCTGGGTCTGCATAGGGATGATTCCACCTGGAGGCAAGAGGCTGGTGGGTGGGCAGCCTCAGGCTTGCACAATAAATCTCCAGATTATTATTAGAATATAGACTAATTCACAATAGCCAAATTGCAAGATCAGCCTAGATTTCATCCACAGATGATTAAAGGGAGTGTGGCCCATAAACACCATGGAGTTTTATTCAACCATGAAGAAGAATACAATTGCGTCACTTACATAAGAAAATGAATACATTTGGAGATGGGAGAAAAATAATCAGACTCAGATAAACACTGCATGGGCCCCTCAGTTCTCTACAGATGCATAAAATAATTTATCCATGCCATGGGAATGGCAGCTGCGCTGTGGGGGCGCGGGAGCCAGGGTACGAGCGGATGGAGGTACTGACGCACTTGTATGAACATGTCATCTGAACCCCATCCCTATGTGCAATGAGCTTCGTTCATAAGAAAGGACATGGGGCAAAGTGATCTTTGTTTCAACAGCATTTCCCCTCAACAGGACAACAGTGAGGTCTCCACGCGTGTGTTTCACCCGTTTTCCCGCCAAGCCCCCTTCCTGCTCTCTCTCACCAAGCATTGTGTGCTTCTTATTAATTGGGCTGCAGTACAATTATGAAAAACGAGGCTTTCCATTTTAACTCTGAATTTTTACTAAGGCGGCACAGAATCGGACCTTCACTCTGGGCGGGGTGGAGCCTTACTTTCTGACAGTTCAAGCGCTGGGCATCCGGTGTGTACTGGTTTCCCTCCGCGGCTCCTTCGTAAGGCAGGCCACTCACTTCCTGGATGACCTGGATTGAAGAAGCACTGTGATGGTCATGGATGGCCCTTGCACGGCCCTGCTGCCTGGCCCTCGGGGCAGGGCAACATGGGACCTCAAGGGAGAGAGAACCTTTGAGAACAAAAGCACCCCACCCATGCCCTGACTGCAGCCCCCAAGTGTTCCGAGGATACAGTTTTCCACTTATACACTCCCCCCGCAGGAACCCCCTGATGTGGGGTGCAGGTACCTCTGCATCCCTGGACGCTATGATCCCCTACTGCCACCTGAGGGCAGGGGCTCCGTCCTGTTGTGAGTGTCATGAGTTGTAAGTGTATACTTGTTGATGCTTCCCTGACTTTCTAGGTCTGTGGGTCCAGGGCTGTGGTCTCTACACCGTTTGAAAGCAGGCTTGGTTACTGCTTTGATCTGATAGAAACTCCGTGGCCACCAGTCATGGACCACGTCAACTGGTACTTGGTGCCCAGCCTGTGGACACACAGGTCAGAGGTGGCCCTGACCTCACTAAGCAGTTCTGCATCCTCCTTCTGAGCCCAGGACCACCTGGGAGATTCCCAGAGAGGTAAGACAGTGAAGAAGACAGATGTGTGCATGCACACTCATACCCACACACCCCTTACAGTAACCCTTTGGAAGCAGTGAGAGCAATTTCAAGGACCCTCCATTTTCAATCTCTGCCTACAGCAGTCTGTGGGAGTGAGTTTGAAATTAGAGGAGGCAAAGAATTGGAAGCAGGGCTCTGTGGATGGGGAGACAAGGGTTTCTCATGTCCCAGCCTGTCTCCCACTAGGAGCTTAGATCAATGAAGGAAATGCAGTCTTTCCTGGAATCAGTAGCCTTGTCATGTGACCCCAGCGTAGCCTCAGTCACTGCTTCGGCAACATTAGACAACGTAGCTGGGAGGACTCAGCGTGAAGTACCGCGTACAGGTTAGGTGCTGCACCATCTTTCCTGTCCTTGTTGGCTTAGACCAGAATACACGGAGGCCCTGCTTGGGAAGGGAGCTGACCAGGCCTGCAGCGAGGAGAGGGTTCTCTGTGCATCTCAGACACAGAGCTGGTGTCATCTGCACAGTGCTCTTGTCTTTGAAACCTCCAGCAAGAGCTGTAGGACCAGGCCGAGAGGATGAGTGTCCGGGGAAGGATAGGCAGGGCTGAGCAGACAGAGGAATAGTCCTGGGAACTAAACATAGGAGCAGTGCACATGCGCATATTCCTGTACACGGACATGCTCATAAACATGTGTGCAGTGTCCGTGTATGCTAGGGTGTATGTGTGCACACGTGGGAGTACCCGTGTGGACTTACAAGGATGAGGATGGGCAGGACTGCCAGAAACCGAAAAGGAGAGCTGGGCAAGAGAAAGGAGTTCAACTAGCAACTCAGCCCTGGGTCCCAGGAACACCGCAGAGCCAGCCCAGCCCCTTGCATTCTCTGGGCTTCATCTGGCCAAGTATCCTGCACTTGGTATACCTTGGACCCAGTGCTGAGCACTTACATGTGGTAAAACACCAGCTTAAGATCACTTCACATGCACACACATGCATGTGTGCATGTGCACACACATAGACACACACAACACATGTGCTTGTGCGCACACCAGGCTTTACTTTCCAGAGTCAAATCATCACTCAGGAATCTTCCATGTCCTCCAACCTGCACACATGTCTATACAGCGGCCACTCTGTTCTACACGACTGTCTATAAGCACCTGAAACTCCTTCAGGAAGGACTGAAGCGCATGTCAGTCCCTCCTAGGAGACTGGCTTGGCCAGACTTCTCAGAACATTTAGTGGTTTTCACCAAAACAACTTGTCAGCTGGGCAGTGCTATTGCACCCCTTTAATCCCAGCACTCTGGGAGCAGAGGCAGGCGGATCTCTGTGAGTTCGAGACCAGCCTGGTCTACAGAGCTAGTTCAGAACAGCCAAGGCTATACAAAGAAACCCTGTCTTGGGGAAAAAAAAACCAACAATAAAATAAAAACAAAAACATCAACAAAATAGAAACAGAAACATCTTGTCAGCTTCAAACCTGGGTACTCAGCACACGGGGTTGCCGGTACCTGGGTAGGTACCATTTTCAGTAGTATTTTAATGACACACTTCAGGTTCTTTTCTGGAAGGCTCACGGTGATGACTATACTCAGCCAGGAGGGGTGGGGTGGTGGACACAACGCCACAAATAGCTAGCATGGGCACCGTGGTGGAGCATGCGGCAGGAGGGAGGGGGAAGGTGGTCCCGGCTCTCACTGCGATGACCAGGGGCCCTGCAGGCCTCTGAGACCTTGCTGAACTGTGAGTGTGAGTCTTTCCTGCTTCAAACAGCTTCTGGTTCCATCATGCTCAACATCTTTAACTAGGCAGGAAGTCCCTCCCCCAGGTGCTTCCTCATCACAGCTAGAATACACAGACTAGGCAGAGCAGCGAAGACACATCTAAGGGGGCAAGAATCACAATGCTGTGTAGACAGCCCCGAATCCACAGTCCAGCTGCAACTCCTTTACCAGGTGACAGCTACCTCTGCCCTCTGAGCCTTCATCTCCAGTCCCATAAAACAGGCTCATCAAGCCTGCCCAGCCGCACCCAACGGCTAAACCTGCCCGAAGCCCACAGTCCATGCGGGTCTTTCACAGAGGCAGCAGACACCCAGTGCCCTTCCTCATAGAGGGATGTGATGCCTCGTCAGAAGGAAGACCGCAAAGAGATTCCAGCTACAGCCATTCCCGGCTTCTAAGGATTCTGTGAGCAGCGGAACCCTGTATCTGGTCCATGGCGTTGATCATCAATACCCAGAATGCTAGAAGCCCTGAGCACCTGAGGAGTCATAGACCCTGTCTATTCTCAACCACATCACCCGCCCCTTCGGAAGAAGCTGGGGGCCAGAACTTCAGGAGCCGTCCACTTGAGCGCTGGAGGAAGCAGCTGGGGGAAGCCGCCTAGTGCGTGCTCCTTACCCGAAGCCACTGCTCGGCTTGGTCCTTGCTCTGCAGGCCCAGCACGATCACGTCGGCATTCATCGGCATGATCTTCAGCTTGTGCTCCTTCTTCCGCACCTGCTTCTCCTTGTGCACCACGCTGCTCCCCAGCAAGTTCACGTCCAGCTGAGGGCTGTGATCTTTGGAGGATTTGTAGCACTGGAATTAAAAATGAAAAAAGATGCTACTGCAAAGGAGAGGCCCTTGAACGCTGAAGTGCACTCATCTCCATGGGCCTGACCATGGCCCCAAGCCATAGGGCTGGATGCCCCGAGGCAGGCCCTCTCTCTCTCTCTTTCTCTTTCTCTTTCTCTCTCTCTCTCTCTCTCTCTCTCTCTCTCTCTCTCTCTCTCTCTCTCTCAAGCTTCCTTCTCCCTGACACTGATCAGGGATGCTCCGGGACCTGAATCACCCAGACAGTTCTCCATTGCCCTGGCCTCGGAGAAGGGGTCTCCTCAGGTGTCACTTAGTCTGCTCACAGCCATGTATAATGGCTTCACGAGGTCACTTCCCTTAATGACTGTTGTCTAGCTTGTGTAAGAACCTATGATGCTCACACAGTAATGGCCTCACCTGAGGACACATTTCTCAGACCGTGTCACCCGTGACGCAGCATATGACTGTCTCCCATAGATAGAGCTCACTTGTCCACAGTGACAAACTTCAGTGATTTCTGCCTTTCTGCATGCCTTAGCTTCCCCCCAGATAAAGATCCATTGGGCATGAAAATCAAACTCACAGTCTGCCTTGCCAGATGCTAGAACTCACAGGAAGGGACCATTACCCTTTACCAGGGAAGGTGTGCTGCCTTTTGGTATCTCATTGCAAAATGGAGGTCCTCATAGGACAGCTAGCGAGACCACCCAGAATAACAAAATGACATCTGGAGTAAGCTGGGCATATGTGGCCCGAGGGAAGGTGTTTGTAAAGACCTCGTGAAACTTTAGGTCAGGACACAAAGCTGCCAGCATTTGCTCTGTTTTTGAGGCAGAGTCCCACTGCGATGCCCAGGCTGGCCTTGAGTTCCGAAACTCAAATCGCAGCTGACCAGCCACCCCTAGTTCAGAGCCGTGAGGTTTTTATTTAAACTGTCAGGAAGTGGTACTATTGTCAGAGTCAAGTCTGGTTTCTCTGCAGGTTTTGGCTTAGAATAGGTGGCGCTAAGTCTTGTAGCCTTTGGGATGGTTCCAACAATCCTCAGGTTGTTCAGACCAAAACAGGAGCTGGGCTGAGGGAGCTGCTCGGTTTGCACGCCATCAGATTAGGAGAACCAAGGGGGGGGGAGGGAGAGAGAGAGGGGGGGGGAGAAGAAGAAGAAGAAGAAGAAGAAGAAGAAGAAGAAGAAGAAGAAGAAGAAGAAGAAGAAGAAGAAGAAGAAGAAGAAGAAGAAGAAGAAGAAGAAGAAGAAGCAGCAGAAGCAGAAGCAGAAGCAGAAGAAGCAGCAGCAGCAGCAGCAAGGAGACCACTGTGGCGGCAAGTGACCGTTATCTCGGTACTGCCTGGAGACTGCATCAAGGGAATGACGAGTCAAGACCTGCCTTGGTTACATGGTGAGACCCTGCCTCCACCCCCTCCCTAAAATAAGCAGGGTGCAAGTGACAGGGATGCGCAGTCATCTTACTTTGATAGCTGACTTAAAAACTACTAGACCTTCCTAATGCAGACAAAATACATTCATCTGCACACACAAAACTTTGCACATTGAGAGAAAGGTGAAACTCTCCTGCTGTCAAATGCTCTACCACCCCCCCAATGTCATATCAGAGAGCACCCCCTCTCCCACCCCTCCCATCCCCAGAAAACAAGATGAGGACTGACCAAGAGCCTGGTGTCCCTGATCACACAGAGCTGCTTGGCCCACTGGCCCAGCCACTTCTTGCGCCACAGGAAGGCACAGATGCGGGCGTCACGCATCAGCTCAATGCTGGCCTCGGGCGAGGGCCACTGGTAGGGGGTTGCCTTGCCTTTGCTGTTCTCCTCTTCATCGTAGGACTCATAGGAGCTGCTCACGGCCTCTCCGTCCTCTGCAAGAAAGACCCGCCCAGTCGGTCAGAGCCCAGCTGGGCAAGAGGATTAGCGCACAAGAAACACTCCAGAGAGCAGCAAGCAGGAGCAGCTGGGGACCCCGGGCTACCATCCACCTGGCCCTCTCATCCTTGAAACAGCTCAATGACTTTCCACCCCCACCCATTGGAAGGAACTTCTCAGATGCTGACTCAGACCACAGAGCACATTTCCCTGCCCAAATCCTATCTGCGTGGATCCCTGACAAGCCCGATGAGCTGCAGCTGCCCTGCCTATGAACCGCGTGCTTGCCCTATGGGCCTCTGGTGCCTTAGCCAATAGGGGTTCCAGGTTCCAGGCTGGGTCTAGCTCTGCTCCAGGTCTGGGAGGGGCCTGTCTTCTCAGAAGGGAAAAAAGAGTAGGAAAGAGGCTGTCTTTCCTCATTTAGGGTGTGTGTGGTCGTGTACACCTTTAATCTCAACACTGGCGAAGCAAAGGCAGGCAGATGTCTGTGAGTTCCAGGCCATCTTGGTCTACACATTAAGGCCCTATCTAAGAGGAAAAAGAATAACAAGAACAATGTGCTGGGTCCTGGTCAGAGCCTCTCTTAACATACCTGCCAGGTCCCCAGGCCATGTGCCCTCTTCTCCTTAGACCAGCCCCCGGCGCCTTACCTGGGCTCTGTCTTCCGGCTTCTCCTACTGTCGGCCAGAGGCCGCTTTACGTTCTATCTTAAAGAATCCTTCAGCGCAGCACAGTAGAAACTGCGCGATTGGCTGCACGCTTCACCATGTCCTTCCAAGTCTAGTTCATATCCCTGCTGTCCTGCAAGCTGTTACTCCTCTCCAGCCTCACCTCTGTGGTCAAGGCCAGCGAAACCACGTGAAAAAGTCAGTCTACCTCCTACCCATGCATGCATCCAGGCATGCATCCAGGCATGCATCCAGGCATGCATCCAGGCATGCATCCATCCATCCACTGATGTATCCAGCCATCCATGCATCCACCCATCCATGCATCCACCCATCCATGTATGCATCATCTATATATCAATATATTCATCTACGCATCCTTTAAAAAGTATTATGGAAAAGAAAGGGGGACTCTGGATTCCCATGTCAACCCCTATCTAGTGTTCTTGATACTCTACCTGAACCCCCAGTGGACAAGGAGCCCAATATTCTCCCATTGCTAGACACTCCTCTCTACTCAGAAAATCAGCCCTAATTGCTGCTTCTCGGTGCCCTCATACAGCAGTTCCTGGTCTGTCCCTGAGGCAGCTCCTCCATCCCTTGACTCGCTTCAAGAGACAAGTCATGGGGCCCCATTTTATCTTATTAGCTGGGTTCCTGCATATTAGTTAAACAGAGTTGCAATTAAATTAGAATATAGATAGGAAAGAAGCATGGGGCTACTGTGAACTTGTTCCAGTCATTGTGCCAAAGAACAAAATCAACTTTTGTTTCAATATTTCTAAAAATAGCACTTTAAGTATTTCCATAACAGTTTCCTTTCAAAGCAGTATGGTGCTGCTCATCTTCCTGGCTTGCCAAATACACATAAAACAAAAGAATAACCAGTTCATAATTTATACCTGCTATATCTATTAAATGTAGAAATATGGAAAATCATGACACTTTCCAGAGGGGCACCCTAAACTCTCGTGTTTCTGTAGTATTGTGAACTCACACAAACCTCTCAGAAAGCGGCCTGGCAACCCATTGTTTTGAGTCATAGGGCATGCTTACTTTCTGACCCAATAATCCGGGTCCTGGGAGCTTATCCTGGAAACTAACTTTCAAAAAAAAAAAAAAAAAAAAAAAGAATAGAAGCCAGCAAGATGATTCACTGGGCAAGGGTGCTTGCTGCCAAGCTTGACATCTGACCTCCACGCATGTGCGGTGATATGTGCATGTAGCATGTGCATACCCCACCTGCTACACCTCACTCTTAAAAAATAAGTAAATGTAAAAATTAAAAGAGGAGGAAGGTTGAGGTTGAGTTTTTGCCTAACCTGCACAAGGCCCTCAGCTAGATCCCAGCACCAAAATAAATAACTCTTTAAAAAGAGTAAGAAGGGACATTCCAGCATTAACATATCCACCGGAGTGTTGCTTAGTAGCCAGCAGCAGGGGGCTGCCTAAGTCAGTGTGATTTCATCGACTTGGAAGCATTCACATACCCACAATCAATTAAAGCCCTGAAAACGAGTCTGCAACTCGGTGAACTCCCTATAAGAAGAGGGCAGAGGGAGGTAGAATTCAAGTATGCATGCAGATAGACCACAAGGCAACAGAGAATTCAGGTACGCATACAGATAGACCACAAGGCAACACAGAACTGCAAGCATGAATGTAGATAGACCACAAGGCAACAGAGAACTCAGGTACGCATGCAGATAGACCACAAGGCAACACAGAACTGCAAGCATGTATGTAGATAGACCACAAGGCAACAGAGAACTCAGGGGCTTCAGTGGAGAGGAAGATAGTAGGACCAGGGGACTTAGGGGAAGTTTCCTGAATTCTCAGTAGTGTAGCATCTGTAAAAGGGGAAATGAGAAGAGTGACCCATGTCACTGGGGTTCTTCCTTCCAGAGCAAGAACGAGCCAAGAGAGGCTGCAAAGCCAGGTGTGAATGCTCTGGCTCTGTCCCCAGTGCCCAGTGTGTGCTTCTGAGATGGCCCTGAATGCCAGGTGGGGAGTTCTGATGGTGTGAGGCCCCCAGAAGCGAACTGAGACAAAACAGCTAATCCTAGTATCAGGAATAGCTTGGGAATTGTGAGGGCAAATGTATTGCTATTGTGTTCCTCCTTAGAAAAGACAGTAGGCCCTCATTAATGTTGAATTTTTCTCAAAACAGATTCCTGGCTTGCAGGGGTGTGGAGTGAGGAGGAACGAGAGGTAGGAGATAGTCCTGACCAGGATGCAGTTCTCTGTCCTGTGAGAGTCCTCAGGAGCCAAGGGCTGATCACCATGTAGGCTAACAAGTCTTAGATCCATGTTTCCTGGTTCTACGGTTGCAGCTTTACGGAAGGCAGAGTGTCCCACAGACAGGGCTTTACAGAGGGCAGCGTAACACAATAATACACTCACTGGGCAGGAAAAGTGTACGACCATGTGCATGCAGGACCAGCCATGGGGAGAAGAAGAAGGCAGTGGCCTCCTGGGGCATGCACCCATCTCAGAGCAGGTTACGAGCAACCCCTGGCACTCCAACTCTGAGGACAAGCAGTACCCAAGGTGATCGTGGCATAAATGACTCCTTCAGGCAACTGTGCTGATCTGGGGACTCCAGTAGGGAGATAAGATCCATAGTGACCTGCAGGATTGATATTCAATAGCACAGACAGAGAAGATAGAGAGAGGGGAGAGGCGGGAGGGGGAAAACGATGGGGAGGGAGAAGGGATAAAGAGAGAGGCATAGTCAAGCACAGACACCCAGCTGTAGCATGAAGCTGCCTATACTAGATACTAGTTCTCAACCTGTGGATTGCAACTCCTTTGGGGGCCGAACAACCCTTTCACAGGGCTTGCCTAAGACTGTTTGCATCAAATATCTACATCCATGATAGTAGCAAAATTGCAGTTCTGAAGCAGCAATGAAAATAATTGTATGGTTGGGGTCACCACAACATGAGGAGCTGTATTAAAGGGTTGCAGCATCAGGAAGGCTGAGAAGCACTGCTCTAGAGGCTGCTCACTGCTGTCCCCTCTGAGGTGCGGACTCCTCAGGAGAGGCTAAGGATGTCATTTACCTGCTCTGTTCACATCCAGAGGCCACCGCGAGTCGTCACTAGTGACTGTCATGTGGCCAGAGTGGAATGTGTCATGTCTGGGATGCACTTTTAAGAAACAGACAGGCACTTCCACTCTCTTTACAGAGGATGCTTTGGTCCTGGAGGATGGCTGAGTCAACATGAGATGCACCTGGGTACCCAAATTACCCAGGATCAGAAGTGCCACACTGCTCAGAGTAGAAACCAATGCCAGGGAGTTATGGGTTACAGCTGCTGGTATTTCTCCAGCAAGACGCATAAGAATAAAGAACCTGATATATTGGGCAGAGAGGGGACCTTGGTGTCTCCAGTACAAACCCTTAGCGCACTCAGCAGTTGCTCAGAGGGCAGCACCGGGACACGGATAATAAAGCAAAAAAGGAGTCCCAGCATCTGGCCTTGTCAAAGAAGCCGATACAACCCTGATGGCCATTCAGCTGGAGAAACACCTATGCTTAGTGCTCCTTCCTCTTACTGTGACCAGGTCACCCTGCTCTAGCAGATATGGGGACAGCAGGCTCCCACCACCTGCTTCCCTAGCCCACTTCACCTGGAGAGTTCAAATGACACAGTGAGCCGCCCCAGGCCAGGCGGTAACCAGCAGGGACGCACAGGTGTGAGACAAACACCAGCAGGCCGGGTGTTTCTGACCACTTGTTTGTGTGCAGGTGAAGCATCTGCGCCTGTGTTTAGAGACAGGTTCTGGCTGGCAGGGGCCACACCCAAGAGGGGAGATGGCTCAGGATACACAGAGGTGATCACTAGGTGAGTCACGGTTTCTACCTTCGGGATGCAGCCAGACAGCATCGCCACACCCTCGGTTGGCTTGGGTCTGAAATCACAGCCTGGTTGGGCCTCGCCAGCACTAGCTCAGTGGGCTGAAGAGAAGCTCGTCTGCCCACAACGCCAACCACTTATAATATCCTCGGTCCCAACAAGCCCTCCCCTCCCACACAGTTCCTGGGAATGGGGGCCGTAGGCAGGTGAGGAGAAAGAGAAAAGCAAGTGTCAAGTTCCAGGTCCCATCTCAGTCTAGCCCCATTGTTGAAGAAAAGTGCAAGGCCCTGTTTCACTCAGGTTCACCCATCGCCAGGCGCCCACGCTCACCTTTGACCTTGAAGGCAAAGTGCTGTGAAGACTGCAAACCTTCCTCCCACAGGAGGAGTAAGGAAGACCTGAGAAGATGCTAATCTTGATGTTGCTGCCCCAGAGAGGCCACTTGTCAAAGGCTTGTCCCCAGTGTGGTGTTACTGAGAGAACATGCTGGACCACTGAGAGTCTTTGGGGTTGGAGAGCTGGCTCAGCAGTTAGGCACACTTGTTTTCACAGAGGGCCCAGGTTTGGTTCTAATCACCCACGTGGCTCCTCACAACTCTGGAACCCCAGTACCAGAGGCTCTGAAGCCCCTTCTGGCCTTCTTGGGCACTAGACACAAGCATGGTATATATACATAATCTTATGTATATAAAGAGGCAAACACTTATACAGATAAAAATAAATGATTTTCTTAAAAAGAAGGCTCTAATAAAAGAGTAGAAGCCTTGTGAGAGGTCCTAGGTATTGGGGTATCCTCAAATGGGTCACAGGGGCCCTCCGGGGCCCACCCTCCCTATCCTTCTTTGGCTTGGTGGCTTTCAGGTAAGCAAGTTGCACATGCCCCCCAACGTCCCCCATGGCTGTCAAAGCAGCCTATAGCAGCGTGCCTGCCCTATCTTGATGAAGAGCCTCCAAAACTTTGGGCCTAAATAAGCCTTCCTCCCTTCTAGGTTAATCCTCTCAGGTATTTCACAACAGTGAGGAAAGGGGCGATGGACCCCGGCCAGGAAGAGCGAAGTTCTAGCTCCCACCATGGCCAGCAGCATCTTTGTATGCTCCTCATCACTGTCTCCCGACTCACCTGGCCCTGCCACGGTGGCCTCCTTGTCGGTCAAACACACCAAGGCATTCTCTGACGAAAGGCCTTTGCTCTCTGGCCAGAATTCTCTGTCTGCAGTTACCTGCTTGCTCTGTTCCTGTAGCTTCAGACCCCAGCTGGAGGTCAGAGTGCCCTGCTAACCAACTGCCTAACTGCTTCCCTGCAGCAAGCAGAGCCACTATCCTGTTTTCTGCCCTAAGAGCCATCGCCAAACACAGTCTGATTTATGTGCGGTCTGTGCTCTATCCACATGAGTGTTCTCGCCCTGCTGGGGGTAGCAGAGTAACTGAATCCAGAGAAAGAACATGAATGATTCCCTCAAACTCAGCCTGACCTCCACATCTGTTACTGCCCAGGCCACAGGACCCTCGGCCAGCGCATCTCTCTTGAGCCACCTCTCTGTGCTCAGTAAACAGCCAGGAAGGAGTCTGGAACCCCGTGGATACAGGAGCATCCCCAGATCCCCTCACAGGCAGGCAGGGTGTTGGACATTTCACAGAGACCCAACACTGAACTCCGTATGGCCAGTTCTCAACTGAGGCCATTTCCCATGTCAGGTCACTTTGCCCGAGGTGAGCCTGCCTGTCACCTGGTGATGAGTCAGCCTGTAGATTAGAGCAGACCCTCAGGGCCCTAGCCCCTGGGACATACCGATGGGGGACGTGTCATATGGGACATACCGATGATGGACGTATCATATGGCTCAGCCTCTTCATAGTAGCCCTCAGGAGACTCAATCTTTGGAACAGTGAGCTGCTTCCGCTCTGGAATCTGTAGCATAAACAGACAAAGCCAACAGCTTCAGATGGGGCACACTGGGAGTCACCACAGTTAAGAGGGAGGTAAAATAGGCCTGGCTGGGCTCTCAGCAAGTTGACAGGGGACCAGGGTCTACCACGAACTCTGCCCTGGGGGATGTGATGGCCTCCAAGCCTTGTTTGCCTCCTCTCTAAGAAAGACTCATAGCAGGGCCATTTGGGGGTATATGAGCCAAAGTGTGAGAGACTTGGGCTGGAGAGATGACTCAGAGGTCAGACGTGCTCTCTGCACGATCGTGTGGAGCAGAGCTGGGGTCCTAGGGCCCTTATAATAAAGCCAGCTGTCCTGCAGATGTGTGTGTGTGTGTGTGTGTGTGTGTGTGAAAGAGAGAGAGAGAGAGAGAGAGAGAGAGAGAGAGAGAGAGAGAGAGAGAGAGAATAGGAGAGATTATCCTCATGAAACCCAAGGAGGTAACTATAATTGTTGAGGGGCCTCTACAAGCCCAGGGTCTGAAGTCTGTGTGTGAAGGGCAATGGGTATCAATGGGTATGACAGGAGCACCCCCATCCCTGCCCCAGGACCACCACGAGCTCAGCTGAGGCAGGTCTACAGAATCCTGGGTCTAATATCTGCTTCCACCCCACTGTGCTTGGCTTCATGTCAATGGTGCCACAGCCATACAAGAAGGAGCAGGGTCACGAGGTCATATCCTAATGAGAGCAGGTGCTGTGTCCGCTGGCAGAGGTGGCTTCTGAGATGTGCCATGCCCCATGGGCTGTCTCCTTCCTGAGGCCAGGCCTTGCATACAGTAGGCAGGCAGGCACTCAGGGGTGTTGGGGACGCAGCCCCGCCGCCGCTCCTATTTCAACACCTCTCCAATTTGCTTTTTGGTCATGGTCACAGCAATAGAAACCCTAACGAGGGCAGTGATCATTAGCCGAGAACCCAGAAGACCGCTGATTTCAATGCTGACATAGCCACTGGGAGAGACCCTGAGCGGCAGAGTTTACCAAGGTCCATACTTCTGCTTATTCTCCAAAGAGCCAACTAGCACATACTTTAGGGAACTGTTGCCTCTTAGGGAATCTTAGCTCAGCTACTTGATCCTGGGGTCACAGTGTGGGGAAACCATCCACAGACCGTGCATGCTAAGGAAGTGCAGCTGGTGCAGAAAATGGTGCTAAACAAAGCAGGTAGCTGGTGGGGGACCAAAGGGCTGAGGGCTCCTGTGTACCAGACCCTAAGATGAGACGTAAAGATGAGTTGCAAAGATGAAGGGTGGCCCACATGACCTGAGGCACTCATGCATCCTTCCCTGGCAAGCACACTGTGGAAAGTTCTGGGGCTACAGTAAGTAGGCAGACCACTTCCCACAATGGCCATGGAAATGCCATTTTGGGTGTCGGTTGCTTCCCCCAGCAGAAAGCTCCCTTGAGATCGGTACTAATGTCACGGTCAGGCCTCAAGTCAGGGGTGGGGTGGGGATGGTATGCTTGTCAAGATGGAAAAGTGGTGGCCAGCAAACATCTGTTTCTCTTGCAATGACCACAGCACCTGGCTGCGCACACTGCAGCCTGGAAAGACCTCAGCTGAGTCATGGTTCACACCCACAAGTTTGCTCCAGACCCCTGGCTGCCCTTCCCTGCTGCTTGGACCTGGTCCTCTCTGACTCCGTGGGGACTGAAGTGATGACCTACTCACAAGAGATAAGCCAGGGCTCAGAGCTGACAAGCATCCCAAGCCCAGGACAGAGACTGCCAACCTGGTCCAGACAGAGGCCCTGTGGGATACAGAATCACTGAGAAAAGGAGGTGACTCTGGCTCAGGCCCTGGGGCGGAACTGCCATGTGTCCTGCCTGGGAGGCCTAGGTGACAATGACTCTTGTGTTTCTGTCTCCTGACTCACCTGCCCCTGCTTCTCTGGAAACAATGGAGTAAGATTTTCACTGTTTCAGGCATAGTGAGCAGGAAGGTTTAGGGGCACAAGCATGAACACACACGCGTGGGCAGGAAAGAGAGGGCCTGGGTAGGGGAGTGGCCTTCCTCATGCCACATCTGGAAGCACCTAAGGGTGGTAGTGGGTGTTTAAGACAGAATTTGGAAGATCTTGGATACTCCACACCCTTCTAGCAAAGAAAGTCCCTCTGATGGAGGGAGGGACTTGCACGGTAAGGTCAATCGGGGCTACTACAACTTTCTGCAGGCCTGCAGACTGTCCACAGGACAATCACCACACCTCAGAAAGGCCCTTGAGACTGAGCTAGTCCTAGGAGGTGCCATTTTCTCCAACTCCAGCACCAACGTTCTCTCAGATGTGGTCCTCGAGCCTCCTCATACTGAGCAGCCCCATTACAGACAGCTCAGGAAGTAGCTCTCAAGGGGATCATGTCTACCTTGTCATCAGTGAGGCCTCTGCTGTGCCAGAGGCATTGGGGGAAGCTGGAAGGAACACAGCCCTCACTGACATACAGAGTCAACAAGAACCTGTGTTCAGATCCCATCTCTCTGCCTCCCCAACGTCAGCCTGGACCAGGACTCTCAATGCTCTGAGACAGTGACAGAGCCACCTGTCCCTTGAGGGGCAGCAGGGGAACAGATTTTCATGGAGTGGGGTGGAAGTTCAGAAGGAGGCTACCAGCAGCATCACGGGGACACCCAGAGATGAAGATCGGCTCTCCAACAATTACTCTGCCCTACATGAAGAGTCCCACCAGCTGCCACTCTTGGGTCAGGGGACGCCTACCATGGGACATCAACCTGGGTACTTGAGGACCACCTCATCGCCCCATGTGGTGGAGTTGTGTTTCCCAAATTGAGGGACCCTGCTGTCCTCAGAAAGCTTTGAACTGGAGGCTGGGTCGGAACCATTCTGGGCCTGAGACCTTTCCCGAGTCTCACAGATCCGGTGATGTCCTACTTGGGTAGAGCTCCGTGCTGCTGTGGAGTACTGGTCCAGGGCCCCTGCTTCCTAAAGACAACCTCCTAGACACGCACGGTCTTGGATCTTTTCTAGGAAGCCTCCCTCTGGGGAAAGATACTGGGCTCAGATGCTGACACTGTCACTTCTAGACAGACAATGAGCTTCCTCTGCTTTGTCCTGGCTGGATTTTTAAAAAGTCAACTCGACACAAGCTACCTGAGAAGAGGGAACCACACTTGAGAAAATGTATTTATAAGACGGGCCTGTCATGCATGTAGGGCATTTTTTGATTAGTGATTGAGGTGGGAGGCCCAGGCCATTGTGGGCAGTGCCACCCCTGGGAAGGTGAACCTAGATGATGTAGGAGAGCACACCGAACAAATCGGGGGAGAAAGCCAGAAAGAAACACTGTCCGTGGCTTCTGCTTCCGTCCCTGCCTCTAGGTACCTGCTTCAAGTTACTGCCTTGACTTTCCGCAGTGATGGACCTGGAAGTGTGGGCTCAAATAAGCCCTGTCCTCCTCAAGTCACTGCTGGCTACAATGTCTATCATAGCGATAGAAACCTAGTATACCCTAACATGTAAACACTGTGACTCGCCACACCGAATGCTGCCTTAGTGTGGCACCTCCAGTGTTGTGTGCCTTACAGACTCAGCCCAGTGAACCAGTCCATCTGGTCAGACAGATGTCAGCATCACTGTCACTTAAACACTGAAGAGCAAAGGGCTGGAGACTTGAAATAACTTGCTCGTGGTCAAAGAGCTAGTGCTGGCCACAGTGAGACCTGACACAGGACTGTATGATCTATGATTTTACACATCATTCATCCATCCAAATATCTATCCACTTACCCACCACCCATCCAGCTATCCATCCACCCATCCACATAACTATCTACTCATCCATCTACCCATCCATTTATCTACCCTCCTACATCCCTATCCATCCTTATCCGCCCACCCATCTACCCAATCACCATAAATCTACCTACCCGTCCGCCCACCCAGCCAACCAATCACCATCAACCTACCTATTCACCCAGCCATTCACCCAATCACCATCAATTTACCTATCCACCCAATCACCATCAACCTACCTACCTATCCCATCTATCCATCCATCCAATCACCAACTTACCCATCCATCCATCCATCCATCCATCCAATCACCATCAACCTACCTACCTATCCACCCATCCATCTAGCCACCCACCCCAATGTGTAACTATTTCCATATGGCCTACTTGGAATAGATACTATATGAGGTGGTGGATAAAAGGTATCATCCTTGTCCTGCAGAGCTTATATCTCATAGAGGAGATAAACAATAAGACAACAATGTCAGGAATGGTGGGGGCCATGGTTGGACACAATATAACTGAGGCAGAGCAGGAATACAGTGGCTTCTTTGTCCAGACCAGAAAAGTCTAAGAGCTTCTGAGAGAAGAGGAGGGGTCAGTCACAGACAAGCCAGTAGCCAGAGAGTACAAAGTCTTTGAGGCAGAGCCAACCTCGGGGCAGCAGGGCAGTGAGTGAAAAGCCAGCATGAGGAGGCTGCACACACTGCTGTTGGGCAGGAGGTGGAACCTGGGCACCATAGTGGGAACAGGACATCCCTATCCAAGCTTTACAAGACAGACCGGCAGGTCTCAAGTATAAGGTGCAATGTAGCACAAATTCTTTTTCTCCTCTATAGTGGAGACACTTTTAGGCCATGCTGACCTGGAACTCCCTTGTAGCCCAGGCCAGCCTAGAACTCATGAATAACTTCCTCCCTGAGACTCCTGTGTGCTGGAATTATAGGCATGAGCCATCACACTTGGCTAAGAATTATCTTTTTAGAAGGCCACAGACACACGGACTGGTGACCAGAGCAGTTTATGGCCCTGCAGTGTTAGGTACAAGGTGACACTTGACAAAAACATTTGACAAAGCCTCTGCAGGCACATTGCTCTCAGCACCTGGAGGGTCCTGGCCAGGCTTCCTGTGTTCCAACTTCCCCGAGCTGTCTCCTGCACACAGAATGTGCTCAGAATGTGTCAGACGCTTGGAGGACTGATAGACACCCATGGGGACAAATGCAACCTCTGAGAGCTCGAGCCGGGAGGTAGATCAGGAGTCCTGCTTTAACACTCACCGTCTTGGGTGGAGGAAGATCTGGAAGGCTCTTCTGTGGGGCTGAGGAGTGCCGGCTGGGCTCCCCATTGGTCAGTGGACCCTGCTCCTCGGGCACTGTAGGCAGCAAGAGGAGAAGGCTTCAGTGAGGGGTGCAGGCTCTCATTACTTGGGATGTCTGCTCACTTGTCCTGGCCCTGTCCTGTGTATTCTATTTGAGCAGGTGTTAATTACCCAGGCAGGCAATTCCTCCAAGAATAGGACATAGCAATGGCTGGCCCTACATAGATTCCTCAGAAGTAGCCAGTGTGAGGTTTCTGGAAGGTTCCGCACCTGTCCCCTACCTGCCCCATTTTCAAAAATGGCCCAGCCACAGAGCCTCGGGGGCAGGGCAGCTTCTTGGCTGTCACTATATTGAGCCACACAAAGCACCAACCTGGTGATTATGGCTCTTTCCTCCCACTATTTACCCAAAAGTTCGAGTGGCCATGGCACTGCATGAACTTCTCAGACCCTGACTTGTCTTGGGGGAGGGTGAGGAAAGGGTGTGGGCACCGCACCAAAGAAGTTAGGCTCTCCAGTTCAACCAGCCCAGCAAGACAGTGCAGGCTTGCTGAGGGCCCCAAGAAAAGCCTTTATCAGGATATTGCAGAGTCTCTGGGGGAACCCCTTCTCAACTCTCTCCATGTCTTTCTGTTTGGGAATTATAGAAAACCTTTATGTGACCCCTGCTGCTAAATGTTCCATAATGCTCTGGCCACACACACACACCAGAGGGTCTAAGAGAAAATGCTTTAGGCAGAGGAGTAAGGTGTCAGGGACAAGGCCCTGAGTCCTTCCAGGAGAGAACCCGTGCTGCCTGAGAGTACGCTGTGAGCTTCATCTTTTAATATCACAGTTGCTGACACCACCATTTCTCCTCCCTCCCTCCCTCAAGCAGACTTTCACCCAAAGAGGCAGGCTGGGACCGTGGGATCAGCGCCACACACGGCCGCTCTCCTAAAGTGTCTGAATTATGACTTCCTCTTCCTGTGATGATGCTGGGAAAAGCCAAGACATTTTAGGGGCAGATTCCTTGTCCAATAGGCAAGAAGGTGGTGGCCCCATTGAAACATCCAAAAATATATAAACCCAAAATACCATTCACCAAAAATATGGATTCCAAAAATAGACCTCTGGGCCTGTCTGTGAACCGGCTAGGAGGGAGGTAAGGAGGATGGGTGAAGCCAGGCAGCCCGGCAGCCCTCAGGGCCTTGTACCTTCAAGCGGAGATGCTGAGTTCTGCTCCCTGTTGACTGATACTTTGTTCATGTAAATGTACTCCTCATCAGAACCTGCAGAGGGAAAAGCAGGAGATGTGGCTTCATAGGACTTTGTTTCACCCCCAGAAACAAACCCTGCCCACCTAAGGTATCTTCGCATGCTCAGGACCCAGGGAGAGCACTTGGCACGGGGTTGGCACGATGGCTCAGTGGTTAAGAGCAGCTGCTGCGCTGGCAGAGAGATAACCAGGTTCAGTCATCAGCACCCACACAGTGGCTCACAGCTACCTGCATCTGCAGTTCCAGGGGCTGCAACACTGTCTGCTGGCCTCTGTAGGTACCAGGTACATATGTGACGTACATACACACATAGGCAAACCACCCAAACGTGTAAAATAAAACCAAGCAATTAATCACGAAAAAGGAGCATTTGGGATTTCAAGCTCTGTAGAGTTAGTCATAGAGACAGGTGGCAGACTTCTAGTGTAGAAATGACAAGATGCTGATGCTGGCTTTCTACCCTAGAGTGGAGGATAGAGGGGGGAAGAGCTTTAGGGCTAGAATATGTAAACAGAGATTGTGTTTTCATTTCCACCCACCCAGACCCAAATAATCACACAGAAACTATATTAATTAAAATACTGCCTGGCTGACAGCTCATACTCCTAGCTAGCTCTTATATCTTAAATTAAACCATTTCTGTTCATCTATGTTTCGCCACAACTGTGGCTTACTGGTAAAGTTTTGGCATCTTTCTTCTTGGGCGGCTACATGGCGTCTACTTGACTCTGCCTCCTTCCTCCTCTATCTCTGCTTGGAATTCCAGCCTCGCTGTATTCTGCCCTGCCGTAGGCCAAAGCAGCTTCTTTACTTGGTGGCAGTATCGGCCACCTGCTTTCCAAAGGTGGGGTGGTAAACGTGGCTCCCAGAGCTGGAAGTAAACAGATCTCTGCTGTGTTGGAAAGCCGAGCAGGGTGGAGCCAACAGCCAAAGCAGACAGCAGCTCTGGTGCTAGCCATGCCTGCTCAACAATTTAGAGCAGTGATCCACAATAAAAACATATTCAGATGAAAACAAATCTCTAGATGGGTCATAATGTCTTTAAAAAAATGTACAGAGGCTTAAGGAAAAGAAAGAAAATGGGTATAGGCAATTATAGAAAAAATAGCTTTCAAAAAATAAAACAAAGCATTTAAAGAGACAGTGAAAGTAATATAAAAGAGTACAGACAGTCATAAATGAGTAAAGATAATAAAGTAAATATTAAAAAGTAATAGAGCAAAAAATAAGCTAGGTAAAGATAGAATACACACAGAGAGTATGGATTATGTATATTATTGTGTATACTCTTTAAAATTTTTGACTGTTAATGATCTAACTGCAGAGAGACATTGGATAATAGAAAAAACTTCTGAATTAAATCAGCCAGTGTATTTCAAAGATGTGTTGACCTCAGAATGGAAACCAGGAAATTAAGTAAGATTTGGTTTAAAAGGGAGAAACCTCTTGATAAAGAGAAATAACAGCTCATCTACAGAGGGGAATCCCACATCAAGAATGGGTAAACAAAAGGCCATTCATCCCTCAAAGAGCTACGGTGCATTCCACAACTGAAGATGTCTCTGGACCCTTAGCATTGTAAAATATTTCCTATCTGCCTTTCCCACACTGGTATGAATCATCAGAATGGACTAAAATCAGAAGTGTCTAGCATTAAAGTAAACCATGCTAAGGGCCTGGACATTTAGCTCCTAAAGCCCAGGGTGGAGATGGATCAGCTTAGGCTGCTGGAGGAGGAGAAGCTGAATGAACAAACCACTCAGGGTAAGAAGGCTGGGCACAGGAAGTGAAGAGTACCAGTACTTTGTTCTGTCCCACAGATTGAAACTTGTAGTACTACAACCCAGGTCCTCTTTTAAATTACTGATGGTCAGGCACCATTCTGATTGGTGCCTGCTGGCAGGGGGGTGCCAGTGTCCTGCCACATGCCTGGTTCCTAGCCCCTATGCACCCATTCTCAGAAGCTGGTGAGAAGACCCTCCATGATTTCTCTTCTTTTGAACCCTCTTGATGGTCCTCTGTGGCTCTTCATTTGCATTTCCTAGCGACACACAGCTGGCAAATTCCTGTGGTTGGACCGTATTCCTGAGCCAATAGACTCAGTGCAAACCTTTGCCAAAGGATCCAATTCAATGGCAGTCTCTTCCATGGCCATAGACTGCTGACTCCAGACAAGGGCTTGCAAAAGAAGCTAGAGCGCCCAGAGGGTCAGGAGGAGGGCAGATGGGTTCTAGCTGTTAGTCACAGTGGCACCATTTCAGTGGCCAGCCTTGCCAGGACCAGTAACCAACATTGCCCCAGTCCAGATGTCTCTGCTGGTGTGATGGGGATGGAGAGAGATGAGAGACAGAGCTCTGCCAAGCTATGCTGTGTGCGGCAACTTCTGGAAAGAACCTCTAATCCCTGAGCCTTGGTCGTCTTCTCTGCTCAGACGGAAAGCCATCAAGATGAAAGCCTGCCCATTGACCAAACAGAACTCAAATTTACGGAATATGGAAAAGTAAAATCAATTTCTAGCTGACAAAGATTAGAGGCAAGAAACTTAAAGGCTCCAAATAAGGAAATGGTAAAAGGACACCACAACTCCTCAAATTCAGAAGGCTTCGCCACCGGTCTGCAAAACCAAATGGATTGCCAGAGACTGGGAATTGGAGTCACGTGAATTTGATTCTGGAAGGCAAGTTTACACCACCGTGTCCTTTGTTCTAGCCTTTCCACAGTTAGAAATCTGTCTGACAGATGCGCTCCAGACACAAACAGAATCTTACTTGAAACTGTTCATTGTAATATTGTCTGAAGCCTTTGGTCTGGTTTAAAGCACTGTAACTGAAATGCCTATCAATAGGGGGCCAGGAGACCCGTCATCTGCAGAGTGGCACTTCTCACAGAACTGGGGCAAGGGAGGGAGGAAGGGCTGACCCTCTTGGCTACAGCTGAATGGGCAGAGCATGTGCAATGTCCCCCTCACAGGAGCAACCACCGGAACATTCTTAAGCATGCTTCTTGCTGACAAAGGCATGGCATACCACAGGCTGCTAAGTCCCTGCTAGAAGAGTATTCGATCTGTGCCCTGTCATCAGTCAAAAACAGGGCCTATCAATTTAAAAATAAAAACTCAGAAAACCCAGAGAGATGATCCCATTGAAAAGTATGAAGTTATTCACACAGGTGCACACACATGTGCTCTTATGGACACGGATATAGACAGACTCATGTGTGCTCACATGGACATGGATACACACACACATGCATGCATGCACACACACTCCCGCCCACACACATACCCTCTCATTCTTCATCCCACATGTGAGGACCACAATGAACAGAGCGTCTCTCCTCACAGAGAGAGAGCTGAGTCTGTGGAAGTATAGTGAGGCGGGGGGGGGGGGGGTAAGAGAAAGATAGATGGTATAATGGGAGTGTTTCGGGATTCAGTCTTGGGTGGCACATTTAATCCAGGTGACGACTGGAGAGAGAATACAGAGGTTAGGTCTGCCTGCTCTGGCTCTAGTCTTCACAGCTGGAGCCCTCTGGGCAAGTGACTTGCCAAGCCCTGGCCACGTCACTGGTTAATGACATTAACACCAACTCCCTTACAACTATGAGCTAAGGATTAAATGACATAATCTGAGTCACTGCACACATTACACGCTGTCCTAGAACACCATTGGTACCATCTGTGTTAATTCCCTGTAGTCTAGCAATGCGAAGAAGACCAGGAGGCATAGTTTGCAGATGTGTGTCGTAGCAACTAGTACATGCATGTCAGCCCTGAGAATCTCAAGGGGGGGTCACAAGCCTCCACATGTTGAACACAGTAATCTATGGACTTGGGGATCTCTGGCGGTGTTCATACTGGGGCACCTGATCAGATCCCCATAGCTCTCCACCATCAATCTGTAGCAGAGGCCAAGAGTTGGGAAAGTCAGAGAGATAAAAACCACCCTACAAGGAACTAAGGCAAAAGGGATTGGGAACGGAAGGTGCTGCCTGCACACTGGCACCAGATGACAGCGGGCTTCCTCACTGGGGCAGTCTTTATAAGGATGTTACAAACTTACAGCTTTATAACAATGTTCTAATGTTACAGATTTATGACAGTGTTACATTGTTGCATCTTTAAAGGTCTGGGAGCCTGCTGTTTGAAGGGTTCCATCAATGAGTCCTCTGTGAGGTGACTCATCCCTCTCTAACCTTCCTCTTTGTAGTGTGGATTCCCCTCTGTTTCCCACCAGTGCTGCTTTGATGTGCAGCCTGGTAGACGCAGATACAAAGCTAAGAGCCTGGGAACTGTGCAGTGTCCTGGAGAGGGGACGGCAAGCCCTTGATGACGGGGCGTGGGTATCCAGGATGCTTCCTCCAGAAGGGAATGGCTTCAGGAATCTAGGAACACACTTCAACTTTATTACTGCCACACAGGGAAGACACTTTCTACTGGGAACCAGGGGAAGGGAGCCCCAAAGAACAGCCCGAGATTCAGGCTAGATTCAGGGAGCATTCTGCACTGTGACAGCTGAAGCAGGTTAATACTTCCCTCCCCTGGCAGGAACGGTGGCCACTCCCGCTGAGAGGCAGATGGATCTGATGCCCTCTGATGGCTCTCACTGTCCTCACACAGGATCTAGTCACGAACATGGGCATAAAATTCAGCTGGACTCCGCTGCCAGGATTTCGCAAAGCTTTTCTTCTAAAAGCAACTCTGAATTTACTACGAATGAAACCACCTGTCTGAAAAATTACACAGGCGCATTCACGGCAGCCTTCCAGCTTCACCACTGAGAAAACGTGAACACCCCACACAGACATAAACAAGTAAACACAGGTAGAACACTCCAGAGATGAAAGGAACCAATTGCAGAACAGCTCCAATGAGTCTCCAAAGGGAGCTAAAATACTCCAGAGGTGAAAGGAACCAACTACAGGCACACCTACAGCTCCAGTGAGACTCCAAAGGGAGCCACGGTAGACACAGAATGATGGCATTTACACAGAGTTCCAGAAAAGATACCTTCTTAGAGTGGAAATGGGAAGGAGATTAGAGAAAACAGAACAAGGTTGGATTAAGGAAAACAACTGTCTGTGCATATGCATGTGGGGGTCAGAGGTCAACTAGAAATGTTGGTCCTTCATCACTCTTTGGCTTTTGCAAGTGTCTGTGCATTTGTGTGTGAGTCCTCTTCTATTTGTACATGCATGTACACAATGTGGCTATGTTTGCTGTGAGCGGGCTCACCTGTGCAGGTACACGTGGAAGCCAGAGGTTGACGCTGGGTATCTTTCCCACCTACTTTTCTTGCCCAGCACCCTATGGAGATCTGCTCACCTCCACCTCCCCGTGGGAATACAGGTGCCTGTGAAGGGTCTGGCTTTGTGGGTGGTGGGGATCAAACTCAGGTCTTCCAAAGTTTGTACTGCAAGAATGTTACTGACTGAGCCATCTTCCCAGCCCAGAAGAGAGAATTCTCTGGAGTATCCTGTATAGTTTTAGATAGGGGCTACCCTGGTATATACAATTATCAAAAGTTGCTGAATTGCATACTTAAGGTCTGTGCACTTTATTGTATATAAATTCTACCACAAAAAATGGTGGAAAAATCATGAACTCATGATTCTGCAATTTACAATCTTAAAACTATATTTTCTTCTCCCCCTCAGGCTACATAATACTAGTCAAGGTATTTATACTCCACAGTCTGAGTTCCCTGTGTGGGAATAGCACCAACCACATAGAGTTGTCGTGAAGAAATGAATTCATACAAGTGCAGCTTCCATGGGCAGCCCAAAAGCCCTAGGTATTCATAACAACCTCCTGTTACCCAAGAAAGCCCTGGGCATTCTTAACAACTTCCTGTCTCCTCTCTTTTAACCAGTAGGGAGAGAGGGCTTTGGACACACTCCACTTAAAATCCCACTCCCCCGGCATGTGGAGTGTGAAGAGGGTCCCCAGCCACGTCAGGTTGCCATGGACCACTGTTATGAGCTCAGCTGTGTCCATTCATATAGCAAACCCTAATCTCTGGGCTTCCAGAACTTTTATTTGAACAGAGAGCCTAAAACTAAGGTGCCAGGGTGATCCTAGTTCGTGTGGCTAGAGTCCTAACAAGATAAGACTAGAAGACACACACACAGAGGTGGCCTTGTGAGGACATGCCAGGGAGAAAGTCCTCAGAGAGAGGCGCTTTGCTGACTCCTGTGCAGTGCACAACACCTGTCTGCGCTCTACGCGCTACCATACAATTCGCGAGCTTCAGGGAAGGGACTGGAGGTTGAAACACACAAACACACACAGAGAGACAGAGACACGTACCTCTAGTCACTGGTAAGAAGCCCTTTATTCAATAGTAACACGGAGGCTTATATACCCAACCAGTCAAGTGGGCCAACAGGTGAAAACCTTATCCTTTGATCATCAAGGCAAGGCAACACGTACTCGCTCGTGAAGCATAGCTGGTACACAACTTTGACACAGCTTTTAGTAACTCAAATCAGAAGGAAAGTAAAGATCTCTAGCAGGGAAGAGCAGCTGGAGGCCAGGACTCCAAATGGTCCCAACACTCCTGGCTCTCAGGTAGCTGGAGATGTGAGAAAATGAAGGTGTGCTATATGAAAGGTCCCCACCTCACTGCGCTACGACAGCCTGGTCAGACAAGCACTCTGTGGATATCCGAGGTCCCAGGACCACACTTACTGCTGCTCTTGGTGTAAAGCCGCAGGAGCTCCGCCAGGCCACTCTTCCTCACCAAGGCTGCGCTGCTCAGGTTCTCCTCGTCTAGAACCTTGAGGAAGTCATCCAGCTCTGTCAGCAGCTGCTCCAGGGCTAGAGACAAACACAGGAGAAAGTGTTCAGGGACGGCCTCTCCACAGACCCAGCAACACCCACCAAGGACCTGTGGTCCCAGCCAGAGGGCTCCTGTGAGGCTTGAGAAGGGCATTCTCAGATCCAGAGTCTTCACGGGAGAAAAGCAGGTCCTTGAATTTGAGACAGACAAGCCTAAAGGAGTCACAAGCCTACCACTTGCTGGCGAAGTGGTGGTGGCCTGGCTGGGTATCTCCTCCATCACTGATGCCCGCCTTCACGGTTAACAAGGAGAGAACTCACCCTCCAAAGACCTTGATGGCTGCTGAGCTATGGCCCAGCTGTGCTTAGGATTCTCATCTTTCTCCCAAAGGACAATGGTCTTGCAATTTCACCTTCTCAAGTCATTTAGATAAATACTTTCTTTTTAAAAGTTCTTCCATCAAATCAAATACTATTGTTCTGCTAAAGGAGCTCAGTAATGACATGACCCCTAACGGTATTCCACTATGTCCGTAGACCAGTGCCCCATCCAGTCATCACCAGAGAAGCTTTCCCCCGCAGATGAGAGGTGATACAGAGATCCACAGCAGAGTGAGACTTTGAAATTAGTATAAAATTGGCTGCCTTCTTCAAACCCCTCCCTTAGGGCTCAGGGAGCGATGCAGAAGAGGGGGTCAGAAAGACTGGAAGAACCAAAGGGGATGGACGACTCCAAGGAAAGAGTGTCTTCCAGACACACAGGACTCATACACATATGAACTCATAGAGTCTGTGGCAGCATGCACAGGGCCTGTACAGGTCTAAGCCTGACAGAGTCCCTGTGCTGAGGGGGTAGTAAACACGAGCTCCCATCCCTAACCAAGAAGCTAGCTCCAGTCGACAACAGCTTACAAAGGAAAAATTAGTTATCTGTAATGGAGTCTCACTTAGAGGCAGGCCCCACGCTCAGCAGTAGACGGCTAACTCAAAACAAACTCAGTGGTGTTTCTGTCGATGCTTTGTTTTTGTTTTGTCTCATATTGCTTTGTTTAGGCAGGCTTCAGCTTACTGCTTGTATAGCATGACTTCTGACTTTGATTTTGTGTTTTTATGGGTTTTGTTTGTGTGTGCGCCTAGTGTGTGTGTGTATGAGTGTGTCTATGTGTGCGAGTGTGGGGGGGAGTTCTTTGTGCTTTTTATTTGTTTTTGTTAATTCTGGTTTGCTTTTGTCTGTATGTTTGCTAAAGAGAGAGAGAAGGAAGACAAGGAGTTGGATGTGTGGGGAGGTAGGAGGACCCAGGAGATGAAGGGAAACTATGATCAGAGTTAAAACATATGAAAAAGATTTTTCAGTTAAAAAGGAGGAAAGAAGTTCTTCCATCACTGAAGATGCTACAGCTATACAGTGAATCTTAGTTTGGAACACACAGCTCTCTAAACCACTACAAACCTGCTCATGGATGGCTACGACAAGAACTCTTCCTGATTTGCCTCTCCTCAGAGTCTTAACCTCTGAGCCATCTCTCCAGCCCCCTCCCCAGAGTCTTACAGGGAAACCCACCTGCAGCGGTGGGATTAATAAATCACCAGTAATAGATATTTGAACAAGTTTAATAACAAAACCAGACTCACGAAACCAAGGTTCCAGCGGAGTAGCCAGTGGAGACAGGAGAGGAAGGGAAGGAGCGCGCAGCCTCTGCCCGCACAATATATCAGTAAACATATGCCTGAGGGCAGCCCGCCCCCAAGGGGAGGGCTTATCCCTACATCTCCCTCCTTTTGTCTAAATAAGACAGAACTAACCTAAATACAACTATAAACAATAATAATAAATAATAGATATAACAAACAATATTGAGAACAAAAGTTTTACCAGACATTCTATCTCAAGGAGTCTAAATAATGTAGAGAGTAATTACAATTATATAATCTTCAACTCCGTCAAAGATCCGAGAAGGGAATAAATATTACTTAACAAATGAGCGATATCCAAAGCGTGCCATAAATGACAGAGACAACAGACTACCTGGGCAATCACCCAAATTCTCGTTCGTAATGTTGAGTCAACCAACTTTGGCTAAGGCCTAGCATGACTGACATACCATTATCAAATGCAAGGAATTTTCTTAGAATTATCCTACCCTGTCTTGGCAAGATAAGAAAATCCTGTTTCATATCTTGGTCAGTAGATGAGGTATGGGCTTTTCTTAACCCAAAGGCCAATTCTGCCAAGAAGACAAACTCCCAGTGGAGTGTCTTTGGTGCTCAACGTTCTCTCGGGAGTAGAGTGGTGTCGCCAGGAGTAATTGTGTCTCGGCACAGAATTCTAGGTTAGCTTAAAGGCCATTTTCTACAGCTCTTTAAAGAGGCTGAAGATTATACTATCTATACTAAATATAATCTCTATGTATCTAGAATACCTTATTAACCTAAAAATAAACATGAACAACATAAAATTCTCAATACCTATCTAACTTGAAGACTAAAAAAAATAAACAACTGTGCAATACATGAAGACAATGATCTTCATCTGTAAACAATGTCATTACATATCAAATGTAAACAATGTTATTACATAAATAGTATCAGAGGTAGAAATGTACATTGTGATATGGTAGATGTATCAATACAATATAAGCATACTCTTCTACAAAAATAGAGGTAGGAACACTCACATTCAATATTCAATATGTCAATATACAGGAAACAGTACCAATACAATTTTCTAAAAACAGTAACTCACAAATACCAATCATCCCATCAAACCAGTTAATTCCCCTTTTTTTTTTTTTTTTTTAGATATTTTTTTTTTTTAGATATTTAGATATTTGGGGTTGAGGGGATGGGGAATCGTTTTATGGAGTTAGGGGTATGATAAAAAAAAAAAGGGGGAATTAACTGGTTTGATGGGATGATTGGTATTTGTGAGTTACTGTTTTTAGAAAATTGTATTGGTACTGTTTCCTGTATATTGACATATTGAATATTGAATGTGAGTGTTCCTACCTCTATTTTTGTAGAAGAGTATGCTTATATTGTATTGATACATCTACCATATCACAATGTACATTTCTACCTCTGATACTATTTATGTAATAACATTGTTTACATTTGATATGTAATGACATTGTTTACAGATGAAGATCATTGTCTTCATGTATTGCACAGTTGTTTATTTTTTTTAGTCTTCAAGTTAGATAGGTATTGAGAATTTTATGTTGTTCATGTTTATTTTTAGGTTAATAAGGTATTCTAGATACATAGAGATTATATTTAGTATAGATAGTATAATCTTCAGCCTCTTTAAAGAGCTGTAGAAAATGGCCTTTAAGCTAACCTAGAATTCTGTGCCGAGACACAATTACTCCTGGCGACACCACTCTACTCCCGAGAGAACGTTGAGCACCAAAGACACTCCACTGGGAGTTTGTCTTCTTGGCAGAATTGGCCTTTGGGTTAAGAAAAGCCCATACCTCATCTACTGACCAAGATATGAAACAGGATTTTCTTATCTTGCCAAGACAGGGTAGGATAATTCTAAGAAAATTCCTTGCATTTGATAATGGTATGTCAGTCATGCTAGGCCTTAGCCAAAGTTGGTTGACTCAACATTACGAACGAGAATTTGGGTGATTGCCCAGGTAGTCTGTTGTCTCTGTCATTTATGGCACGCTTTGGATATCGCTCATTTGTTAAGTAATATTTATTCCCTTCTCGGATCTTTGACGGAGTTAAAGATTATATAATTGTAATTACTCTCTACATTATTTAGACTCCTTGAGATAGAATGTCTGGTAAAACTTTTGTTCTCAATATTGTTTGTTATATCTATTATTTATTATTATTGTTTATAGTTGTATTTAGGTTAGTTCTGTCTTATTTAGACAAAAGGAGGGAGATGTAGGGATAAGCCCTCCCCTTGGGGGCGGGCTGCCCTCAGGCGTATGTTTACTGATATATTGTGCGGGCAGAGGCTGCGCGCTCCTTCCCTTCCTCTCCTGTCTCCACTGGCTACTCCGCTGGAACCTTGGTTTCGTGAGTCTGGTTTTGTTATTAAACTTGTTCAAATATCTATTACTGGTGATTTATTAATCCGACCGCTGCACCCACCACAGTTGTTGCCATACTCTTTGGCCAAATCTATGCACCCCACCCCACCATCTTGGGGGTTCACACATTATGGTGAGTGCCTCTTCTGTCTAAATGCTGTCCATCCCCCCAGGCCTTGCTCTCCACAGCATCCGTCCCAGCACCCTGGCTAGCCTCTAAAACAACCAGGCTCCTTGGGAAGATAACCTCATGCCACCAACTCAGCCTCTAGGAAGGCCAAATCATGGTCCAAAAGACATCTCCACTGCTCTGCACAGCAAAAGGGACTTCACAGATGGGGCTGGAGGATGGAGATGCTCCCGGGCTCTCCAGGTGAGTCCCAGCCATCACGAGCTCACTGAAAAGAGGAAAGAGTGAGAGCGAAGGAGAGAAGATGGGAGGTCGGGGCAGGATCTAGGAAGCAGTGAAGTTGCCACAATACCGTCTCTGAGGTTAGAATAGGAAACCACCAGCCAAGGAATGCAAGAGAATCCTGTGTGATGGAAAAGGGGAGGGGATGGATCATCTCTGGGAGGATCAGGGTTCGGTGGATGTTTTGTTACTCTAGGACTATAAGTTAATGAATTTGTGTTGCCGTGAGTCCCTGAGGTTGGTAATTTGTCATAGTGGCAATCAGAAGCTTACAGTACCCTCTTATTACGCTGTCTGGGTCACACTGTTACTGCCTGTGGCCCCGTGTATGTACACCCTCCAACAAAGGGCACTGCATTTAGCTTGCATCTCATGGTGCCCACAAAATGTCCAGTATTCACTAAGTGAGAAAATGAAGTAAAAACAAATTCACCCACTTACACACAGCACGTCAAGGTCAGACTACAAGAAAATGAATTCCTGGCTCTGAAAACCCAGTACCTGGCCTATCCCACCTCACTGAAACACCGGAACAGACAGGCTCCTCCAAGGGATCTGTTCTGCCTTTCTAGTTTGTT